CATGACTTTTACACCGCACGAGGAATTTACAGAGGGGTGGCTATGGCGCGTATAAGAATTCCAAAAAAAATAAGTCTCATTTTGTCATGCGTCATCGCGAAAATCTCGTGCGCGATTGCTTGCGATTGTTTTCTATACATACACTCGAGTGCAGATAAGCCGCAGAAGCAGCAGCTGCAGCAGCACCCGCATTACCTTGAAATCGACCTTTGGAGGAAAAAAAATTGCTCATGCTCAAAGAAAGTATGCCAGGAGAGCGCAGCACGGCCCGATCCGCAGGCGTAAATTATTATATTTTATATTATATATATCTTGCCGTGGCGCATCTCTGCCGCGCACAGACTATGCGGATCGAGAGGAAAATCAGTCAAGGCTCCAAGTGCATTATGATCGCGGCTCCCGAGGAATCATCCGTGGGCGTGTATGTAATGCAACTGCACGCGCAGTACGTACGTGTACGTATCGTTCGTCATGCGTTTTGCTATTCGGACGCGCGCACCCAACGAGATTTGAGCGGAAATACCTATGCATTTTTAGTAGAAATACAAATATAAAATAAAAGATACGAGGATACGCACGCGTCCGTCCATTCGTGTGTATGACGCGCACTTGCAAACTGGTTTTTTTTTGTGTATACAACCGCATCTCTGTGTGCTGGCGAGCACGTCGTATATATGTCGTATATATGTCGTATATATGTGAGTATATGCGCCACTCTATGCGGTGAATAATCACGGCGGGCATAGAGGAGACACTGACAAATAGTCCGCGTATTCATCATATTATTGTTGCCAACGTAAACGCGCGACGAGGTAAAGATGTGCGTTTTTTGATATAGAGAAACTCCGGACTGCGCGAGAGGCTTTATAAGTATAGCATGGGTATAAGAGCGTTACATTTGCAGTTGACTCGACGCGAGACGCGAACTGCGAAATTGTAAACATCACGACCGCTAGATGTCGTATTTAATTCCAAAAGTAAAAAAGTAGAGACATTGTAATAAAGATTGTATTCAAAATTAATAATTGTTTCTTTACTTCATTTTACATAGAGTTTCCAATGACTAACCCGCACTGCATTATTTAGTTGAATCTCACAATTTCTAACATGCTGTAAAAGTACCTAAATGCACTAAAAGAAAAAAGTAACCCCTCGCCGGGAAACCTTCAGGGTCGTATATCTCAAAAAGTACATTTTTAAGATTTATTTAAATAGTCTAGATCCAAACAAGAGGAAATTTTCCATTGAAATAGCTACTTTCCAGAAAACCGTTTTTTGATTTTAGCGAAATATAGCGAGAGAAAGAAGAAAAAACGTGGCTTTTTGAGGTTTTTGGACGTTCATCCGGTACAGTGCGCGCGTAATCCACGTCTTTTTTTCTTTCTCTCGCTATAATTCGCTGAAAACAAAAAATGGTCGCCTGAAAAATAGCTATTTCGATGGAAAATTTTCTCTTGTTTCGATCTAGATTATTTGAAAAAAATCTTAAAAATGTACTTTTTTAGATAATCGACTTGAAAGGTTTCCTGGCGATTTTTCCGAGGAAAATGAATAATTTTCGAAAATTTGACCCCACAATTTTTTCTTCTAAGTGCATTTAGGTACTTTTGCAGGGAGTTAGAAATTGCGAGGTTTCGCCTAATAATGCCGCGCTAGCGAGCCATTAAAGACTTGACGTGAAATGGCTCAAAAGCATGAGGATTCGTTTTATTCATCACCTCATTGGTTCGCTTCATGATTAGTCGAAATGTTTGGTCGATCGTTTATATAATTTTTTGTGGGAAAATTCAATGTAATGTTAGCTAAAATTTTTAATATTCAATAAGACATTATTTATTTAAATTTCCTAAATATCGAATGGATCGGAAAATTGATGTTTTCGAAATTAATCGGTTTAGCAATAGTCATCTGTTTTGGCACAAGACGAGAATACCCGCAACCTGAATTTGAACAAACGACTCCTTTCCTTCTACTGGAACCTGATAAAATTAGCCATTTGATACTGATTTTATGCTTTGTGACTATTTTCAAATGATTCAAATGTGCAAATGTTATTAAAATCTCTTTAAATTTTTTCTGTGATTTGTCTTTGATTGAGCAACAAGTATACGCGCCTCCTGTGATCTTATTGGGACTCGATGTTTTGGCGATACAATATTATGCAAATGGCTTCATCAAAATTATTGAAGAAATCAGACGACCGTAGAAAAAAATGGAAAGTATAGAAACATTGACTCACCTACAAGCTGAAATAGCAGAGAAACAATTAGGATTACTTCAACTTATTTCAAAATATATTATATGTTTAAAAATTCGTATTTCTGATTCTAACTAATTTTTTTGTTCGAATGACGACTTGTTTTCGTTCAAAAAGGTTTGAAAGTAAAAATTTCGTACAGAAAATTTCAACGCTTGTTCAAGGTACAATGAGTTTAACACGAAAACAATTTAAAAATTTTTTTTACCGATTTTCATGAAGTTTTTCTCGATGAAACTGTTGATCAAGTGCAAAATAAATTTCATATCAGAACATGGAGATCAAAAATATACATGAAATGGAATTGCCTATACTTAAAATTGACTCGTTGGAAGAGACAACCTGTAAAACGGTGCACATTACGATCGCTAGATGTCACATGCAATTCCACATGTAAAAATATTATGATCCTATAATAAAGATAGTGGATTCTAAATAGGATAGTTGTAATGAATATTTATGGCACTTTATCTTATCGATACATTGGCAGAACACTATATACAGATTCTGAATAGGATATACTCGTACTTATCATCGCGTCATCTGAAGTCGAGTAGTCGTACGACATTATGTTTATACATGGTCTTATACGACCGAGTACCGATCAACGATTTTTCAGTCATGCAACGATCGTCCTTACCGACGACCTGTTGGATCAACAGAAACTCGGCCGAGCGATCGGTACTGCAGCAGCAGCGATCCGCGCGATGATATGCAGAACTGGCTGCTTACTGGCGACCTCTTGGCCGATATATAGACAACGAGCGCTCATCGATTTTTCAAACTTTATATTGTGTACGGCGTATCGTGCAGAAGCCCTCGGCCGCCACCACGAGAGAGCTTATACATAGTAAGCTCGCGCGTATATATTCCATCTCGCTTTGAAATTAATGAGCTAACTTTGACTTACACGCGTTCAAACGGGACTCGCTCGGCACTTTATGCAGCACACACTCGGGCGCGCGCGCACGGATGCAACGTTTACGCAAAGTTTCGCGCGCGCGGGGGCGTACGCCCCCTTTTCACTTTTCGCACAAAAAATTGAAAAAAAAAAACGCGAAAAAAACTCTGCGTCAATCAACTTTTCGCGTACAACTACTGCGCGGGCACTTTATTCGCGGGCGTTGACAAGAGTAGGAGGAGGAGGAGGAGGAGAGAAAGAAGTTCATTAATAGGTTTATAATTTCGCGAGCAAAGTTGCCGCTCGCGCGCACGTCTATCTATCTTACATTCATCGAGCTGCGCTGCCGGGTTATTATAGGGAGCGTCAAAGGCGCATATTGTTACACGAGCTGCACAGCGGCGGGGGCACGCGTATAATAGCTCGACGCGAGCTCGCGCACTACTTTGTTTCAGCGAGCGACAAATGTGCATTATTATATTTTCTCATATTTTATTTCATAATTTTTCATTAAACTCGCATAAGTATATCCGCGAGAGTCCGGCTGTATTAAATTGATTATTCCTTCTGACGCGCGTATAATACGCATCCGCTTCATATATCATAATCTCACAAGAGCTTCGATGTTTCGAAATGCGAGCTCGTAAAGCATCATTACCGTCGTTTAAAGTCTCGTACATTACGATAAAATGAGAGATTTTTTAGCGACAGATTTTTTATCTATACTTTTCTATTATTTTTTTTTTTTATACTTCTATTGGAGACATCGATTGCGTATACCGTTATGTTCATTTGCAGCACACCTCGTGCTGCAGACGCTCGTATACTTATGCCATACACGGTAGTTATACAAAGTGACGATCCGCGACGATTATTTAACGAAGCGATTTTTATCGCCGCTCGTTGGCGCATCGCGTGAATTCGTCGCGACGCCGAAGCTGCGCCGCAAGGTATAATAATATGGCCGCACAATAATAAAGCCGTTGGCATTGAACTTCAAAAATGGTATGTGTGCGCAGTGTGCAGGATGCAAATGCTATGTAACGCAAACACTCTCGAAGCTCTTTTATTTCGCTTATTATTTTCTTTTTTATCGTTTTATATTGTATAATCGTTGGTTTTTGAATCCGCATTGGTCACGAGCAGCAGCGAGAAAGAAGGAAAATCCTGCGCGCACTTTCGTCGATTGCGCCGAGGCATGAAACGATTTCCTCGATCTTGAGTGCGCGCGTCGGTACGCGAACGTAAAAGCGAATGAGGAACTACTTTTTTTTCTTCTACTACTTCTGTGCGTATACACAATGCAGTATAATTGATTCGGCGAAGCTCCGTCAAAACGTCGGACTTAACAACGCGCAAGTGCATTTACGTATAGGTATATGTGCGCGTCGAGGAAAAAGGCGCTGAACTTTTATTTTCTCGAAGGCTCGAGCTGCATGCGGCCACGCAATCGAGGATTCGAGCTCATCTCCGCGTGCGCATCGTCATAGATCATATATACAACAGTTGCGGCCTGGCTTTCTTTATTACATATATACGCATCGTGAAAGGGGTCTCGTTTCTTTCTCCGCTGCTGCTGCTGCTGCTGCTGCACGGAGGAGCTGAGCCCCCCACACGCGCTGCGTTCAGGTACACGCGCACGGCCAGGTACATACAACGAGGCCCCACTTCTGGGCGACGACGACGACGACAATAACGACGAAGGAGGATAGGAGTAGCAGCGCGAAAGACTGGCCCCACTGCCGCTGCCTTGCGGACTGCAAAATACGTTATATACGCTACATGTGGAAGCCAATGTACCGCTGCTCCAGCGTATACGTATAACGTTGCCGCCGCGACGGTCTGTATCAGTATGAAATTTGCGAGCGCATCATCTCGAAGCAACCTCGCAAGTACGCGCGCAGTGCAGTGCTACTCTCTTGGGCATACCTTCGGAATCTAACGAGTCAAAGTCGTCGTTTTCGCCATTCGACTTTTCATACGATCCGTATACCTCGGGAGCGTCGATCGTTTCGACGCACTCAGTGATTTACTTGTGTTGCGTTTACTTTGATCCACGTTCGTATAATATATAAATAAAAATTCGAGTGAGTGCGCGTACGGAATCCAGGACAATAAGCGTCGTCGGATCGCGGCGGCCCCTCCGGTGGCGCATACGCGCGATGACGGATGCGTTCACGAGCTATCAGATACACACGTAGAGCGCATACGTACGTAAACGCTTGGATGGATCAGCGCAATCATCGATTCATCGTTGTCGCGCGCTTCTTCTTTTATCGCTCTCTGCACACACGCGTGCATATTGGGGGAAGCAATAGATAACAACGAGTCCGATTGATAAGCGATTATTATCGCTCATCCACCCGCGCGCGAATCATCGGCTACAATAGCCAAGGAATTGGAGAAAGAAATAAAGCGAGAAGCCAAGGAAAGAAAGAAAGATATACTTGATTCGATACGCGGAAGGTATAATAGAGCGAGTTGTTCGCAAGCTCTCATTTTCTGCAAATTCAAAAGAAAAAAATAAAAAAGAACTCACAATTACAAAGTACAACAAATCGAACAGAGATGAATTCCACATCGATCGAGGTGGAGTCGAGGCTCCAGGCCAGACCCGACGCCGATAAAGGTATATATTGACTTACAAGTTAAGGCTGAATATACGTAAAGAAAAAAAAAGCATGAAAAGAAGTAGAAAAAATCGCTTCGCGCATAGACGGCAGTATACATGTGTTGTACGTGTGCGTATAGAGGAGAATATCCGAGATACGTGCAAGTGCATCGATGTTGCCGGGGGAAAGTCGTACACACCAACACATAGCTACACATACGCGCACACATACGAACAGCTGCCGCTATTTAGTAGGTTAAGTTTTGATGGCACATTTAGCTCTACATACTATATATGCGAATGTTCGAGCTCTATATGCATCGCACTTGCACACACACGCACACACACAGACACACATGAATAGACGCATACGATGATACTTACACACGTGCGAGCGAGAGACCGTAATGAGCGCGATTGCTTTAATACACTGAATTTGCGGTACTATGAATTTATGGAAAATTATGTAAAACATCCGATTGATATTGCGCATCGCGCGTCGACGTTTTCTCGCGCGTATAATAATGCGTATCGATGATCGGCCCTGCAACGACGCAATTTTTACGCACGCTATTCGTAAATTTATGTCGCTATTACAAGCGCCAGCTTCGGCGACAGCCGAAATACGTGTTGTGTGTACTTTATAAAATACGATCGCGGGACTATCGACCGCAGTGCGTACCTATACCATGTTGCGCAATGCCGAAAAAATCCATCGGACGGGATGAGTTGAAAAAAAAAAAAAAACAAAAAAGAAACAACATAGAACTCGAGCAGCAGCGGCAGCAATAGTAGCCCTAGATAGGGTCAGTTTCTTCTATACTTGCGGCTTAGCGAGTTTTTTTTCTTTCTTTTTTTTTGTGTGTAGCCTTTAGCTTTTCGATCCTTTTGCGACGCACCGGGCACACACCCACCATCCGAATAGCTATAGACGAGAGCTTTCAACAAGCGAACGGCTTTTGCGGCCAGGCCGAGCGCTGCGATTTTCGTTATTACAGGAGGCGGCAACGCGTAGGTCGCAATTAGTTTATTACAGAGCGAGAGCTTTTCACGCAGTACGCGCCGTATACTACATACATGTATGCGGACTCGTTGTCGCGCTGCTCGCGGACACACACACACACACACACCTCACGGCCGCGCCGATGCATATTTCGCGGAAAGCTCGATCATTATTAATCGCGCGCGAGCCAACGAAGAATGTAATAATATTAATACGAGCGCGAGCCCCGCGACGTGTTGCTGGAGCACACACACTATAACGCGTCAGGCAACGTGCGGGCACGCGCGCGAGCTCCGATAAAATTCAATTAAGCTCGAGGCTCGTTCGAGCTCGCTGCATAATCGCTCATTACTACTCGATTTTGCACTCGCATTATTTCACCCGTGGATCGAGTGTACATTTTGCAGTATATGCATACGTATTCGCACCGCCGAGCTGTCGAGTACATGTAGCATTGAAATTCGTGTACGCTGTTAACATTGTTTTTGTGTGCCTGATCGGCGCGCGCGCGACGATGATCCGTCGTCATCGGAATGAAAACAAAGTTTGGCACACACACACACGTATATATCTACTGCTACATTACACTTTGTGTACCATGTGTGGAATATACGTTATGTGGGCCAATCGATCATTTTTTCCGTGCGTACGCGTTTTCTCTCCCTCCCTCTCTCTCTCTCTCTCTCTCTCTCTCTCTCTCTCTTTAGCACTCGACGAAATTTGCGACGACGAACAATGTATCAAAAGCGTATTAATTATTCAACTGAACTTGGCCGCCGATCCAGAATCGCGATTGCGGCGGCGCGCGAGTTAATTGCTTTTTTACCGGCGCGCCGCGCCGAGCTCTTTTTTATTTGGCGTTTCTCGCTTTGCCTCGATGTCCGTGCGATCGAGTTTTCTAGTTTTTCTCTTCGAATACATCTAGCTCGAGCGAGAGGTAGAAAGAGACAGAGAGAGAGAGAGAAGGAGAGAGATCGTGTTTCCCGGTTGAATATGAATTTTTTTTTAAAACAATCAAACTTGGATCAGAACTCGCCGTCTTGGCAATATCGAGAAAGCTTAGTCATGTGTGTAGGTATGTATCAGGCCGAACGAAAGTGTAAACCGTCGCGCGAGACTCTATTGTACCCAGCAGCGATAATATATTATACCGTTTTTCCGCACGTGTATATAATTTTTGTTTCTTCTCTCTCTCACTCCCTTTCTCCCGTTATATATAAGCAAAGTCATTCGAAGGCAGCCAGCGCATTTTCATCGCTGATATAGCTTCGCGCTGCTACTACGTAGCACACAGCGCGATATGGTATATGTAATGTGTGCGTGTGGATTCCGCGCGCGCGCTTATATATTGGTAGGATCGTCCTACTTTCTGACCGAAATCCCAAAACTCTCAATCGGATCAAATTCTACATGTAGCGCGGATACATAGCGATGCTATGCTGCCTGACCTATTGTGATCTTCTTTTTTCCGTTTTTTTTTCTTTTCTCTCTTATATTCATACCCGCTATACACACACGGCACGTATACCGCATACGATCGGTTTGAATGGTGAAATTGCCAAGTTGTATAGCGTAAACGATTTTTTTTTCATCTTCCTCTCTCGCTCACTGACTCTCGCTTTACTATCAAGAGCGTATGCGAAAAAAAAAATGAGAGCGAGGACGATATTCACAATATTATAACTGTATATTAAGCGCGAAACATTGTGATTCTAAGCAAAAAGGGCCTGTGTGTACGAGTGTAATTATCGATTGCCAATGTATCACGTCGTCGTTTCTCGCAATTCTTGTTTTTTTTCCTTCTCTCCATCTCTCGCACGCGCTCTTTCCTCGGATGTGATGTTTGCCTTGCCACTTTGTAATTAGAATCTCAGCATGAAAATTGCCTAGCTCGAGCTCTCGCGCTCGAGCGTAATACCTACGTTGCTACGTGCGCTCCACTGAATTCAATTATAATTAAAAAAAAAAATAATAGGAAAAGAAAAAAAGAAAATATCCCTAAAGATACTTTGTCTTTACCTTTGAAATTTATCGTACGCTGCAGATTAAATGTTATTGTGTATATGAAAGAAAAAAGCTGGACTTCATCAAAGCGTACGCGCAAATGTCAAGCCTTTGTCACATATTATATATATATACACGCACACGTTTGTTATACTCGATGTATTTTTGCTGTACATACTCTATCTTGCGTTGAATAAATGAAGTGTATATACCTTGCAAGTGGTCCAATAAACTATAAAAAAATAACACACGCACGAAGTGTTATATACCTAAATAATGAACTACTGTACTTAAGCATTCGTGTGTATGTGTATAGACACGCGCTCGATGATGGTCGTTTGCAGGGATGTATCTGTGTGTGTATGTGTGTGTACACCGCCTCGTCGTCGTCGTCGTCATAGCGAGCGACATATCCACATAGTAGTTATCGGCTCGCGAGCAAAACGTGTGCAACTGTAAAGTGCAATAATATCGTAGTCCTAGTAAATATAAATTTGCGAAATGACTCCGCATCAGGTGCATCCTGATCAACGTTACACCAAAGGCGATGATGACGAAAACGCAGATCCGTCCGCAGGTACACGAGCTTTATTCCTATTCTCTTCTGTTTACCTCTTTTTTTCAATCTTTCACGAGTGGGTGAAGCGAAATATCGATCGTAGTAGTACTGCGCCAAATTAAACGTCAGCAAGAGTGGTATGCTTCGATATGATTTTAACGAGTCGAGTTAAATATAATAATGCACTCGTTAACGCCAACGCACGTACACCTACGATGGAAATTGAAATTATAAATATAATTCATCACAATAATGATGATAATAATGTTATTTTGATATTTTTCTCTCTTCCTCTCTCTCTCTCTCTCTTCTTCCCGACAAATTTTTCACCGTGTCATAATCTTCCACGAATGTTTTTATGCAAAAATCTCGAAATTGAATCGGAATTCACGACTCGCCAACGCGTTATACGTACGGTATAATCGACGAAATAGCTGCATAATCGCTCCGGCGACGCTCGAGTTTTCCCGAAATTAAAAAAATAAAAGAAAAAATCGTCCACAAAAGCTCGGACATGAAATTAAGAGATGCGCCGCGTACGTGTGTAATTACAGCTCGGCAATGTGTTTCGCGCTCGGGTAATATATAAATGCCGCGCGACAAAAATTAGATGCGGCGATCTAAAGTCACGCTACGTTTTCCCAGGCATGCAGTGCTCTGCAGTGCATACCTATAGATATATATCTGTGGTAGAAAGGCATAACTCATATTATTCCATATTATTTGCTCCGTACCATCACTATGATGCATCATTGAATTTCATTGATATACAGTTCAAAAGGTACCTCATAGTAGCTTAAAACATCATAGATTTAGACCTCAACTCGTCCGCGTCTAGTTAGGCTGACACAATCAACTTAAAACGCGTTTTTCTCGAAAATACGAAAAATGGACTTGAGCCTTTCCACCACAGATGTATAATGTACGCTCTCGCTCTGTTTTATACAAACATTTATCGGATGTATGTGTGTAGTATACGTACACACGTATACACAAAGTTATATAGAAATAAATTGGCATGATTAATTCATTGCGAATGCGAAAATAGTTTTATATCACTTTTCAAAGTTGGGAAGGCCGCGTCCCGGCACACATACATACGCTCGCCCGAGCAATTAGCAAAGTTTTGGAAAGGGCGACGCGGCGTGCGGCGCGACGCGTGTCGACGACAATATCGAGGGAAAATATTTTCCCTATATCCGACGTACAATGCAGAGGCAGCAGCAGCAGCAGCAGCAGTAGCTGCAGTATAACAGCGGCAACAATTACACGCGCATTTATATATACGTCTTCATCATCTCAATTCGAAATGGCATCCGTGTCGTGTCTCTGCTCTGACTCTATCCTATATATAACTCTGATTTTCTCCGTGTTATTGTACTCGCGTGGCTGCCACAGACGACGAACAAAGTGAAATTTGATCCTTCGCAGTTTACGGTGTCTATTGGATTTTCCGCTCGATAAGAAAATAAAATGAAAAAGACGAGAACGTATTTTCTGTATTTTTGTCTCTCTAAATCCATACGTATATATATCTACTACGGTCGATGCCTCGTCGTTGTTGATTATAGTCAAAATAGTTTTTTGCGCGTTGCACAATCGCAGGAGAGGATCGACGTCTATGTGTACCGTATATATGCGCAGCAGCAGAGTAATACAATTTGACTTTCTCCGTCATAGCATCTTTATGTAATGAAGTTATTACTCTCGGGACTCGATGACGAGCGAGCTCGAGCGCGAGGGAGACAGATAGACACATAGATAGAGATGTTTGAAGCTTACTTCCTGGAGTCCCACCAATCGATCTATTCGCTTCTAGCTGCGCCGTACCTATGTGCGCGTGATTTAATAAAATATTCGATATATATCTGCTGCTCGAACAAGCTCGATCGACTTGCGCGCGCGCGCGAGCACATTCCAATATCAATTTTGCGTAAAATTACGCGCGGAATTCCGAGCTTCGATGTTTAACTTGCGTCAGGAGCTTCGAAACTTCGGGTGTTGCCAGGCTGCAGCTGCGCAAGCTCTCGCAAATATATGTATGGGATTGATAATCCGCGACGAGTGCGAGAGAGCTTCTCGAACGCAACTGTATCTGTGTGCCGTATCGTCGTATATGTACCGATCGATGAGCAAATATTACCCGGGACAAATATCGCGATGATTTTTTTTTCTTCCTTGCTTCTTTTTTCTTCTTCTTCCTCCTCTTATATCTTCTGATTTGTCCCGTCTATACTCGCGCGCACCTTCGTGTCATTTAAAGCGAGTGGATATAAACAAAAGCTCATATGTGTTTGAAGGAAAAGCTTTCCTCGCGGAAAAGCTTCTCTTCTTCTTCTCTGTCGGAGGTGAAAGACAAAAAGTGCTCTAGAAAACGCGAAACGAAGACGCGGAGGGAGGGAGTGTATACCGAAGACACAAAAAAAATCCATACGCGTAAGACAAATGACACCGTCGACGCGAACGAGTAGGTTGCACTTATTGTACACTTAAACACACGAAGAGAATGAAAGAGAAGGCGCAGACAGAAACACACACAGACACACACGCACACAGACGTATACATACCCACACGTTGCGTCAGATAAAAACAAGAGTTATGTCATTTTCTAAGTGTCGCGTGAGCGCGCGAACGTCCGATGCATTCGAGTGGCTATTGTAAGGCTTGCGAAAAAAGAAAAGAAAGGCGCAAATAATTGATTTTGATTGAAACTTGGCATTGAATCTTCCTTATACGTCGATCGAATACGCGACCGAAGTCCGAACGTGGATGGTCAAGGTGTTTGACGAAAAAAAAAAGGAACGAAATTCGCGCCGCGTCGCTAACTCGCGCGCGCGCGACGCGACGTCGAGGATGCCGATGATGATGATGAAAATGTTGAGAAAGATAACGAGCAAATATGTACGTATAGGTACGTTTTTTTTTGTTTAATGAAAGGTCTGCTGCGCCGAGCGCGAAGATTTTGTATTGGCTAAGGTGTAATTTTTTTTCTCTCTCGCTTTGCGCCGTCCAGGCACGTGCGACACGTTCTAGAGAATTTCAGAAATCGCCTCGCTCCGATATGCACAGATAATGTTTGCTTATGCAACCTTTGTTAGATTCAATATTTATTTATGCACATTGTGAGCGAGATAAGCAAAAAAAGGTACAAAATAAAAAAATAAATAAAAAAAAATTTTAACGAGTAAAAAATATGTGTCGCACGATGAGCTTATTAGTAAATTTTATTACAATAGTAACTGAGAAATATTCGTCGAACAACGTGATTACGAAAAATTGTTTCAATTCAACCGTTTAATATTTTCCATAATGAAATTTCGTAAGCGCTGAAAAAAAGTAAAGAATCTAAATCGCCTCGGAGCGTTGAACCTAGCCACGTGCGATTATATGTACACGCCGTAGCAAAATCAAAATTTCATCCATCTAGCAAGAGATATCCTTTGCGCGCTCGGAGCGAAAAAAAAGGTAAAAAGAGAGAGAGGGAAAGAGTAAACGAACCGACGGTGCTTGTAACGGTATGTAACCACGCAGGTACCTATACACATTGAAAAGTATATGTATAGCATATATTATATACCTATATTCGTAAACGTATATAGTCTCTCGCGCGGTAGCTGTAGTGCATGTTTCCTCTCTCGTCTGACCCTGACCTTGTTTTCTTCTTTCTTTTCTTTCGTTTTTCGCCGCCAGCTCGTTGGTGCAGGCGTCGACGAAGGCGGCAGGCGTCTCTCTGTATCTCTCCCTCCTCGTCTTCTTTCTCTTACGTTATATGTATACGTACGAACGTGCAGCAGCGGCCAAGAAATTTACGCGCCGAATTCGATCTTCGCCTATAAACGCGTGCCCGTATATATGCGAGCCGAGGACGTACGCGGCGCACTATCCGATATATAACGTTACACAAACTTCGATGCGCGTCGCGCGATCAATATTAATCGAGCGTTTTTGAACTCGCTGTATAACGACGTATTGTTGCGCGCGAATATCTGTGTGTGTGCATGTGTGTGTTTATCGGCATGCCCCGAGGCAGGCAAAAATAGGATTTAATTATGTAATTAATCGATAATAATGGAATCGTGTCACGTGGTGATATATATCGCAAAAGCTCCACGAAGCGCGCGCTCGACCGCCTCATAAGCGCATATAGCCAATTGTCCAATTATACATCGACGCGCACCAGCTCAGCACCTTATATGAGCAATTCTCTAAATGAAACGCATTTTTTGAGGTAAAATCGCGGCAAATTTTTTTTTCAAACTACGCGGATACGGACCCCCGGGAACTGTTTTTGGGGGTCCTAGGAACATGTTACCACGTAGGAACCATTGAAATTTCAATAGTGCTTATTTTCAGAGCTACTTTTGTGATTTAGGGCCGAAAAATCATGTTTTCTCGTAAATACGGCTAAATACTCAATTTCTAAGTCGCTAAAAAAGTATCAAAACTCATCTAAAAAAAATAACTGACTACTGTGTTCGATAGGAAATTTTCTCAGCTTTCCAATGGTGGTATCAGATTTTCCCGCAATTTGCGCATTCACCGAAAAAATCGCCATCAAACATGCCAAGCTAAATATCTCGAAAAACTCAGTACGGAAAAAGTGATCTTTGAGGTTTAATTTCGATTTTTCCTTGTGAAAATGAAATTTATCGAAAAATCTGACAGCACCATGAGAAAGCTGAGAAAATTTTCTATCGAAATCATATATTCATTTATTTTTTCAGTGGCATTACGAGCTAGTTTTGATTGTAGCGAGCCAAAAACCTTGCGACCGCGCTGAATCAGCTCGGAAACAGAAAACAGCGAACAACGTAAAAGAAATTCGCATGTATAACATTGTAATTCAACTCAAAAAATAAATGAAGATATGCTTTCGATAGGAAATTTCCTCAGCTTTTTCATGGTGCTGTCAGATTTTTCGATAAATTTCATTTTCACGAGGAAAAATCGAAATTAAACCTCAAAGATCACTTTTTCCGTACTGAGTTTTTCGAGATATTTAGCTTGGCATGTTTGATGGCGATTTTTTCGGTGAATGCGCAAATTGCGGGAAAATCTGATACCACCATTGGAAAGCTGAGAAAATTTCCTATCGAACACAGTAGCCAGTTATTTTTTTTAGATGAGTTTTGATACTTTTTTAGCGACTTAGAAATTGAGTATTTAGCCGTATTTACGAGAAAACATGATTTTTCGGCCCTAAATCACAAAAGTAGCTCTGAAAATAAGCACTGTTGAAATTTCAATGGTTCCTACGTGGTTACATGTTCCTAGGACCCCCAAAAACAGTTCCCGGGGGTCCGTATCCGCGTAGGTTGAAAAAAAAATTTGCCGCGATTCTACCTCAAAAAATGCGTTTCATTTAGAGAATTGCTCATATACGTGACCGAGATGGTAAATCATTATTTTTAGAGAGGCGATCAAAAGAGAGATAGAGGATTATTATTATCTATACTTCGGCTCGGCTTCGATCGAAATTATGCACACAATTTCAAGTTTTACGGCCCCAGCAGCAGCAGTGTCATATCGCTGTCCTTAATTTTACTTTTTTCTTTTTTTGTACTGTCGCGCAAATTTTATAAATATAAAATATGAAGCCTATATAGCCCCGGAATAATGCAACAATGGAGCGCGAACAGCAGCAGCAGCACTGCGGAATACCAGAAGAATCTTTTCTTAGACTTTTTGTTGTATTATAACGCGCGGTGTCATGCATTATTAAAGCTCCTTTGTATCTATATATCGTAGGCCTTTTTCTTCGTTTCTTTTTTCTTTTTTCCTTCTTCTGATATTTTATTTTCAGGAATCGCCGCGCGTGCAGTCGAGCATTTCAATGTAAAAATTTCCCGACGATTGGAAACACCCATCATGTCTGTGTGCGCGCAATTGCACAATGAATGTATAAATACTCGACTCACACATACTTCTCCGTGTTTTTTTTTTTGCTTTGCTTCTTTTTTTTTTGACGTACTCACACTGATGATACGTTTCGCCAAGAAATAATCGACATGTGGCTTTCATTTCGCAGCTCGACGATAAGAAAAAAAATGTAATTTTTTTTTCTCCTTCGCCTACGAACTACATTTATACTACACACACACACACACACACACACACACACATATATATATATATTAAACGCCGAGACTTTCACGTGCTTCGGAAATTACGCGCTCGCGCACGTAGTGCAAGTGCACTATTGAAACTCCCCGCGACTCGGTTCAATTACGCTATTAATTGCCGTATATCGAGCTCAAGTAAAAAAAAACGGGGGTAGGGTACAAAAAAAGAAAAAGAAATATTTCTGACGTTTTTCCGTTTTCTGCTTCTCTATTTTTCCATTGCGACATGGCACAGATCAACTCAGCAATCAGCAGATCCTCGAGAAAGATCTCAACGCCAACAACATGGATCAGCAGGCCATAGTCGTGAGGTTCGCGAAGAAGCGCTACGGCAAAAATCTGCCTTGTGTCCTCGATGGCCTCAACATGACCGTACCAAGAGGTTGTATGTGAGTATATTGTACAAACAATGTTTCATCCTTCGTTCTTCGTTTCTTTTTTCTTTTTTTTTCAAAAATTCAACACGTATACGTACACGCGGCAAGGATAAATCAGGCGTAGAAGTGAGCCGAGCGATGTATACAGGATAATTGACATAGTAAATTCAGCGCAAATTTGTAGGCCGCGACGTACATAATACGCGCACATACGCGTAATATATAATGTTTGGAAATATTCATAATTAAACATGTGTCTCTCGTTTTCTCAATATGTTTGCTCGGATGCTATAATTTTCATCCTCGTCGTCGATACACGCATGTAAATGCAAATGGCGCAGTTACGGCCTATTGGGCTCGTCGGGCTGCGGCAAAACGACGCTACTGTCCTGCGTCGTCGGCGTGCGCAAAATCGACAGCGGCGATATCTGGGTACTGGGCGGTCGACCCGGTGATCTGTCCTCGGGCATACCGGGCCCGAGGGTCGGCTACATGCCGCAGGACATATCGCTCGTCGGCGAGTTCAGCATAATCGGCGCACTGTACTATTTCGGCAGGATCAACGGCCTCGATGACCATATCATCGGTAATATATATACTATAAATCCAATTTTTTTCAATATCAAAATGTGGAGCAGCGACGCAAAAGTCGATAAGAATCTTATTCATACGTTTCTTTCTTTCTATTTGTACGCGCGCGCCGGGGGTCGCCTGCAAACAGACGAGAGGTTTGACTTTTTCTCCGACTTGCTGGATTTACCGCCGAAAGATCGTCTGGTAAAGAACTTGAGCGGCGGCCAACAGAGACGAGTCTCGTTCGCGGCGGCTCTCATACACAAGCCGGAATTGCTCATCCTCGATGAACCCACGGTTGGCCTCGATCCTGTTTTACGAGAAAAGTGAGTTCGCTTAAAGCTTCCCTTCTCGTTCGATATGAAACGCCGGCGATTAAACCAATTGCGTCACTCGTTAATATTTGTATATATCTAGAATCTGGCAGTTCTTGGTGAAGCTCACGAAGGAGGAGAACACGGCTGTGGTGATCACGACGCATTACATCGAGGAGACGAGGCTGGCCAACAAGATCGGCTTGATGCGCAACGGCCAGCTGCTGGCCGAGACGTCGCCCGACGAGCTGCTCAGCACCTTCCACTGTAGCACCCTCGAGGAGGCCTTCCTCCAGCTCAGCCGGCGCCAGAACGAGGAGGGGACCAAAGGCATCGTAAACGAGGCGTTCGAAGGCGATGAGGCGTCTCAGCCTGCCTCGGCAAACAGTCGGAAGCTGCGCCCGCCGATTAGTAACAATCCCCTCGACGTACGATATTATATTAATTATCTCGCGCTTAACTCGATCGACTTGGAGATAAACATCGATAACTCCAATTATAATTTCTCCCTCGCAGATCCTCAAAGCTAGAGCCTTGTTCAAAGCCTTGTGGGAAATGGTACCGTTCAATCTGAGAAAACCACGAAAATTTTGGAGCAATCCGATAAACCCGAAAACATTCAGAGCCCTACTGATCAAAAACTGCCTACAGTTTTTGCGACATCCTGGGTAAGAATTCTTCGGATTAAATCTATACCTATATATTTCAATATAATCAATGGTTGCGTGCCTATAATTATTATTTTCTCTCTTTTTCTCGCTCAGGACCATACTGTTCGCTTTCGTTTTTCCGGTGGTCCAAACGACGTTGTTCTTCTACGCTGTGGGCAGAGATCCGCAAGGCGTCGTGGTGGGCATCGTCAACGAGGAGGCTGGCAACTGCGACTGGGGCAAGAATCAAGGCCAAGTGATCTACAATGAGACGCTAGGGACGTGCGAGTATCGGGATCTAAGTTGTCGATTTTTGCATGGCTTCAACGAGTCCATCATGGTCAAGGTATAAAACCTTATCAAAAATTACGTACTGTTATATATTCAAATTTGGGTGTGGTTGCGCAGCGATACTTCGACACGATAGAGGATGCGAAGCACGCGGTTACCAAGGGCCAAGCCGCAGCCGTGATGCACTTCTCGAAGAATTTTTCGCGTGCCTTGGAAAAGAGACGAGACATCAGTGCCATTAACAGCAATCAGATGACCGACGAAGAGATCTACACAAGCGACATCAAGACGATGCTGGACATGGGTGGTAAGATACGACTAATACGATAAAATAAGTTTATTTGTCGATTCTTCTTTCTCGTTCACTATATAAAATGATTATCGTGCGTTGATAGATCGCCAGATTGGACTGTTCCTCGAGGGTAGCCTCATGAAGCGCTTCATCGAGGTACACGGCGACATAGTAGCCAGCTGCAATTATCCACGGCAGATCGTCGAAGTGCCCGTTTTCGTGAGTTTGATTCATATCCGAAAGTTTCTTTTTGACTCATCACTTTAATGAGCAATCTATTAATATAATTTTCAGTTTGAGGAGCCGGTCTTTGGAAGGGTCGATCAGAGATACTCCGACTTTATCGCTCCTGGCTTCATAATGACGTAAGCTTTATTAAACTCATTATCAAGCTTAAGCACATAAAAAGTCAAAAATAAGTCATGACACTTTTATCGATCCGTACATGATCCATTTTATTTTAGAATCGTTTTCTTCTTATCGACGGCCGTGTCAGCGGCAATTATCATTCAGGATCGCGCCGAGGGCGTCTGGGACAGGAGCCTCGTTCAAGGTAATTACACACGCTCGCCATTTTCTCTTTCTCCGAGAACGTATATGTATATAGCTGCCGTGTGCGTGCGTTTTTGCAGTACATGCGTACTACATCTGTTGTTATTTTGTGCAACGATCCATTCGTTGATGAAACTCGCGCGCGGGCTAGAGAGAAACAGAGGCACGTATGGGCAAGGATACTTATTATGGAAAACAATGAAGCGCTAAATTACAAGTGCTTCGGTTTCTCCGTATACGAAACGTCTCTCTCTCTTTCTCTCTCTCTCTCTCTCTTTCGCTTCGACTTCTTTCTTTACTCAATTTATTATACTTCTAGAATGACAAATGAAGCAAAGGAAGCAGCCGCGCAATTTATATGTACCATGCATATTCCCCCGAGCTCTTTGTTTTATATTATTACACAAATTTTAGATTCTCGATGCGTACGAATTTCAACGAAATATATACTAAAACACGAATTTTACAGGTGTAACTACCAGGGAAATTCTCTTCTCGCACATTATCACCCAATCGTTTATGATCATCATCCAAGTCACTATGGTACTCTGCGTAGTTTTTCTTCACTTTCGCTTGGACTGCAAGGGATCCTTGTTGGTAGTCATCATGCTCACGCTGGAGGTCAGCTTTAGCGGCATGTCCTACGGTACGTAACTGAAAAATGAAACAAAAAACTTGGAGTCACCCCCGCCGCAAGTTTCAAAGTTTCCGTCTTTATTAATCCACAGGCTTTCTCATCTCGACGCTGTGCAACTCGCACACCGTGGCGAACTTCATCGCGACGGGCAGCTTTTACCCCATCATACTGCTCAGTGGTTCGATTTGGCCGGCTGAGGGCATGCCAACGTTTTTGCGCTGGTTCAGTATGACGTTGCCCACGACGATTCCCAGCTACGCCTTCAGAGCACTGGTCGACAAGGGTCTGTTCCTGCACGAGCCCGAAGTTTATTCGGGTTTTATTGTGTCGGGCATCTGGATTGTCATCTATATTGGCTGGTGCCTTTACAGTTTGAAAAAAGCGACGAACTAATTTTTATTAATTTTATCTTATTACCGTTTTTTTGTCGAGAATTCAAATTTTTTGGGGAAATAATGTGAATACGCTTCGAAAAATTTAGACACGTGCGAAAGAAATAATATATAGGGTACAGTGTATCGATTGAATATGTCCTTCTGAATGAACACTAAATATTAGATAGCAGCTTTATACTCGATTATTCTTAACAATGTGTAACAAGGTGATGCCAATTCTTCGTTTTTTTTTGTTTTTTTTAAATGTATACCTTTTAGTCTAAACTAATTTTCGAAAAACCAATTTTAAACATTTTCATTTGATAGTTTTTCGGAATCAAATATTTCGATCTTGTTTTCCGAGAAAACTACCAAACGAGATTTACGACAATTCGGTCCACAGCTGTAACAATACGATAGGATTTACAGAGTCGTTTTCCGAAAAAACGGTCTAGAAAAAAGTTGGGATAATGTACATTTTCAGTCTTTGGTCGGTGAAAACGAGCCTGCATTGTCTTAAGCTTTTAGCTAATCTTTAGAGCATTATGCATTTTTTATTACTGACAATCAAATTTTGTTGTTTTTATGTAGAAGCGTTCATTCATTAGATTATAAAGGCACATTGATCGATACATTTATCCAGTAAAATGTATCAAGAGTTGAAAGTATACTTCTGTTGTGTAATTTTACACAAACAGAGTTTTGATTCTTGCCCATCGAGTTTCGATGTCGTGTACGATTTTTCTCTTTTAACCGCTCTGCATTACATTTCTCACATGAATTGAAAATTAATTCATCCAGTGGAGATGTATCTAGGTTTATATTTATCCACCGGGCGCAAATATTTTACTTACCACACGAAAGCATTGAAAGTTGTAGCAGCCCAGCTCGAAGAACGAGAATGAAAAGCAGTGCGTTTCATAATTTTGTATAGGTAACTTTGCACTTTCGAGCAAAAGATTGAGAAAAAACTCTGAAGACTTCATACATCTGTTACGAGATCAGTAAATGTAAATATTACGAAACTGTGGTCTTGCCAATGATAACCATAGACTAATGATAATTTTTGATAAACACACAGGGTCTTATGCGTCGTAAAATGTATTATATAATTCAGTTATCTTTTTTTTTTCATTTATGCAAGGTGCTGGTAAATTTTTAGGACTCGTTCGATAACGTGTTAACGAGTGAACATTATTGTTGATACTTCAATTTACAACTCTAGTCAAAAATTGAATAACTTGTGAATGAAAAAAAAACTTGATAGCAATTTTTATTCGATAGGACACTAATTATATTTGCATTGCTATGTTTTTTTAAATTTCTATATTATTAATTACTATTACTCTATAGACTAGTAATTAAGAACTTTTGTGTAAATTCAAGTAGGTATAAAAGTGTCCTCTTGACAACTATGTGGACAATTCAAGTGCAAACTTTATAATTCATTCCAATTTCAATTTAATAAAATGTAATTTTATATAAATTTTTAGGTAACTTTATTAATTAAATATACTGCAATATATTGTTAAGATTATTTTATGGATAATTGTTAAATAAATTTTTTCCTATTTATATCGTTGCTTCTTATTATTTGAAACTTTATGTATGTTTTTATCATATAGCTTATTTTCATCAGACCAAAATCGAAATTAGTCATACTTTCAAATATATAGATGTATTGTCTTAGTGAATACTATCGTTAGCCAAAATGTATCTTAGATAGAAGGTGCTTATAGTAAAGTCTCCAGCCAACATCTCTGTTTTAATGTGTACATTGGCATATTTTCTTCTATGTCTACATAAAAAGTAGGTCTCAAAATTTTTATGCTTAAAAAAATAATCTCAAGATATTTGAAAAAATAATATCTAAAGTCAATCTGAATACTTACTGATACTATTCGTCGCTGATCGTTTTTTTCTGTTTTATATAAATTATTTCTTCGTGGAATGTACAAAGTTTGGGAAAAAATGTTTCTGACACACATTTCAAGCAGCATTTTAAGATTCTTCAAAAACTCTATTCTACGAAATTATGTTGCCGCAATTTTCTCGTGAGTCTAATTACAGAAATTATGTAGGAAAGTATAAAGAAACTTGTGAGAAACGACAAAAATATCTTATTTTAAAAGTGTCTGACAATTATTTTTGACTAATATATAAATAGAAGAAGAATATATAAAAAAAAGTTTGTTAATTTTCACGCATTTAAGCCAAAATTATTGATATATAATGTAGTATAGTTGATTAACGAAAATCAAATTAACCCAAATTTAATAACAAAACACAAATTTTAAATTTTAATTTTATAGTTTTCAAGAATTTCTTTTTTAAATCTATGGTTTGCCAAAAATCATGCTCGGTCAACTGTTAACGTTGTTCATCTTATTTCAATCCAAAGTAAATCTTTATATGTTACAGAAAAAATATTTTTTTAATAAAATAAAAATAATATTAATATAGAAAAAACTTATATGTATTTTGAATTGTAAAAAATGTACTTCGTACTTCCATTTATAAATATTTTATTTTTATTAAATGCTCTGATTTTTTTTCATCTTGTTTACATAATTCATTCACATCATTCTTTTGAAATTCTGGCATTCATTATTTACGTCATGTACGCCCTGTTATAATATTATGTTACAAACATTTACAACACGTGACATATGTTAATTTGATCTCATGCACGATGACGAGGGTATACTTTTTTTTCAAGACGAAACATGGGAAATACGCAAACAATGTTCTAGTGAAATGATGACCCTAATTATCTACAAATTTCGTTTGAAAATTTATTTTCAAATTCGTATCTTAAAGGCAAATTCTAAGACGTCATTATCGTGTAAAATTTTAATCTTTCTCTTCTCGTAAGAGCGGATTTCCTCTTTTTTCTTGACCTCAGGCTTTTTAGGCGCGAGACTGATAACTGGCGTTCGTGCTACCTCCCCAATGATCCTGTCGACCAATTGTCGAACGGAAGTCGGCACGTGACCTCGACGTCCTAAAAAAAGAAGAAGAAAAATTCGCACGACGCGAAAAGCGTCGAAAATTCGTCAGCTGCTGTGCAAATAAATCGTAGCAGGTTTTTTTTCAATTTATATATAGCTATACAAAGGGTATACTGAAATTGGATAAGTTGTGGACTTGAAATTGATATTATTTAGCGTATCGTTGAAAATGCTCGAGTGAAGCGTGTAAGTGTACACATGTACACAAACATTACAGCGGAACGAGGAATGGTTTTTTGTTTCGTTGACCGTTTGATACACGTGATACGCCTGCACATGATACAAAAACAGTATGGAGCATTGGCTTCGAACATATTGTACAGTCTTCGTGCTCGGGCAGAAATTTCGTCGGTCGAGAAAATACCGGGCCGCAGCCTGATAGTAATTGATTGCAGAATTTTCAGTATACCCTTCGGAGATATTTTTATGCGAGAACAAAAATTCAAACAATCATTCCGGTTATGAACGATAAAAGGAAATAATTGATTAATTAACTATAAACGAACAATCATGCAGAGTTCGTATTTGAAATTTTATCTTTTTCGACGTTTCGCTTATTTTAGCTTTGGATTTGGTATATTCGTAAATATTTCGAAAATTATATTATGAAAACAACACATTTACAGGTCGAACAGATAGATGCAAAGGGCATTGAAAAGTGTGCAAAGAAGGAAGGAATAATGGTGCGTCGTTCTGTCAGCTGAAGTCAATTTTCACCATTTTTCCGATGGAATCTCAGTAGCATCACTTATCGTAAAAAAGCCATCGGTCATAGCCACAATGTTTTTGTTAATACGAAAAAGGCGAAATTGACTTTTAGTTTTCTGTCTCGTCTTTTCTACTTGATAATGGATTCTAATGAACAATAGTAAACTTTGTAACAACGTAGTTCCATTTTTTTTAAAACTAACATTTAAATCTTTCTTGATATAGTTTACACACTCAATAGTTCATTTATTTTTTATACATCTAAATTTTTAAATGTAAAGGGAAATTCCGAGGCCTATTTTCAATTTTACTTTTCAATTTATTGCGTCAAATTGAGTTAAAAACTATACGAATGCTTGTGCAAATTTTGAAAGTTAATTGAGTTTGTAACATGACATCTACTGGAAAAAATTTTTCAGGGTACATTTTTTTCGCCAAGTAAATTTCCTGCAATTACGTATCCTGCACAAATATACATTCATGCTTCATATACATTTATTAATAATGCTTTGTTCGCGAACGTGAAATGTATACCAACCCATGAAAGTTACTACACATGTCGCATATGCAATATTTATACATGCCTCTAACCGCGTCTAAGAATCAAATATTGACACTTTTTTTCAGGATTGTCATGTAACACTAAAAGTTTTAGTATTCCATACGTTCAGTATATATATTTCTATATATTTTAATCTTGGAAAACGTTTGCATCTTGCACACAAGACTGATGCTTGGCACATGTTTGGCAAATTGTGAATATTCTCCGCGCACCCGATTCTTGGCTCAATAAAATTTATGCGTTTAATTTTATTTTTTACATCTATTTTATCATACTTCACAGCTCTAAATGTAAGAACAGCCAGCTGCAAACTCATAGGATACTCTATGATTTCATTAAAATTACAAAAGTTACGTAACATCTTTAAAATTTTTTTCATCGTATCAATGCGTTATATAAACTCGTTTTCCTTTTTTCATAGTTAACTTTTTTTTCTCGTAAGCGTAAAAATTGTTTTCAAGTTAAAAACTGCAAGCATTGAGTCGGATCTGACAGTAAATTAAAATGTTTGTACTTACGTATAATCTAGTTTTTTGCATTAAAACCTGTCAAACTATCAACATCTATTTGCTAATGCATAAATCAGTATTATATATACTATGTTCATATCAATTTATATTCTTTGTACACATGCTTCATCAATATTTATTCTCTTTATCTAAGTTAAAAATAGATTTTTAATTTTAAATTCCTATATTATCGGAAGCAAATGAAATTTGACATGGGCAATTTCAAAATTCATTCATGCGCATCTTGTAAAATTACCGACTTTGAAGCTATGAGTTTAAAGTTTAAATCAATGCGATATTAAGGTAGATATAATATTTATAAAAATGTAAATTCTCAAAAAGTTTGGGGAAAGACAAAGTTGTTCATTTTGGCTTAATTTAATCAAGTATTTGGCAACTCTTGCTTGGAAGTACTTTGTTTGTGGGAAGATAAAAATTGTATCTATGATCACTGGACCGTAAAATAGCAAATGTCGTTTCAGCAGTGGCTTGAGATATGCATTTGGAGATCTTGAATATAATCAACAATTCAATCCTTTGATATGAATAAAGTCAGCTAGGTAAAAGCGGTAATTTTACAAAATAACGTCAATTAAAAAAGTAACTAGAGAGCACTACAAAATAATCTCGTCACCGGAATTGCCCATATCCTCGCCCTATAAAACCGTCTCCTTCTGGCTTATTATCTTAATACCGTGCTTCGTCAGTATCATTTTGATCATGTCACTGTCGCGTATTTTCAGCCTCGTGCATTTCTCGCCGTCCGTCGTGGTCGTCGTCGTCGTAGCTCCGTTTTCGTCCGTGTCCGCCGTTTCCTCCAGCGAGTCGAGATTGTCGCCCGACGAGCAGAACCTTCCGACGTTGTCGGCCGACCTGCGCAGCGATCGGCTGCGCGACGTTCTCGGCTTGATGCTGTCGGCCGACGTCATGAATCTGTTGTCGCGCGAGCGCGAGAATTTTTCGCCGCTGGTGCGGAACGACGTGCGATTCTGGAGATTGTCGACCGAGGAGAATCGGCGCTTCTCCTGCTGTCGGTCGACGACGTTGTTTTTCTTGGGATAGGAGCCACGACGGCTCAGTCGACGATGCCCGCCTATGCTGAGACTGCGAGACATGGACTGCTGCTGTTGCTGTTCGTCCCTCGGCACGCATCGGAAAGCAGACTGCTCGTGATTCGGCTGCTCGGCTCTCAGTCTCGAAGACCTGTGGTGCTCTATCAGCTGGTGCCTCGGAATGACGTTGACGTAGAGCGGCTCCGGCTTGTTGCAGACGTCCAGCGAAGCTCTGAGCTTGCAGTCCCCGAGGCCGCCGACGTTATCGACGTCGACGCCGTAGCGATCCTCGTCGAAGGTCGACATCCTGTAGAAGCCCCGACTGATCTCCATGACCGATTTGGCCTTGGGCAGGCCCAGAGGCGCCGCGTGTCGATCGACGGCCAAGTAACCGAGCGACGCGGGCTGCTCGTCCGTGAGTATCTCCTCGGCGCTCGTGGCCGGCTCGCCGCAGATCTCGCACAGCTCGGTGTTCTCGTGGAGGCTCTGGGCGACGGCCTGCAAGTCCGAGGACTTGTTGTTCAATGCCTCGGTGGAGTCGCGCAAGTTGCACGAGCTGCAGATGTCGCACTCGGTGGAGTCGGGCGAGCTCAGGTTCGAGCGCATCGTATAAAAAAGCTCGGTGCTCGAGGCCTGCAGCTGTTGCTGCTGCTGCAGCTCGTCCGCCGCCAAGCAGCACATGCAGTAATCCTCGGTCTGAGTATCTAGATCGGGCAGCGTTATCAGTTGAGAAGTGCTGTCGGATTTGAATCTTCCCGTCGCAACGGGGGCGACGGTCACCGTGTCGTCGTCGTTCTCGTCGATCGGAAGGGGCTGAGGATTGCGCTTGATGGACTCGAAGCTCTTGGACTTTTTCGACATCGACTCGATCGTGGCGCGTCTCATTACCAAGGTATTTTCGTTTTTCAGATTTATCGAGTCGAGACTGCCCTGCAATTGACGCTGCTGCACCACCTGGGCATCTATGGGCTTGTTGATAATCAGTCTGAGTCTCTTGATGTAGCTCAAATCTTCGTCGAACAACTTTTCGCTCCACTTTTTCGACTCGTCCACGGGCTGCTGTGGCTGCTGCTGTGGCTGTGGCTCATTCCCTTTTATCTCTTTGCCGTCGGACTTGGGCGATTCCTCGTCGTCTATCTTTTTGGCGGACTTTTTCGTGCTGACCAGCGACTTGAGATACTTGCCATCGATCTCTAAATTTGTTTCAAACTTGGCGGTCTGCTCGTTGGAGTCGTCTAATGGCTCAAAGCTCGACGGCGCAGGCTGCGGTGGCAGTGCCGAGCTATTGACATTCGTGTCGTCGCCGCCGCCTTTGATATTACTACCAGTACCACTACTACTACTACTAGCAGCAGCAGCAGCAGCAGCAGCAGCCAGTTCCTCCGGGAGAACGTTATCTCTGTCTTTGCTCGTTTTCACGGAGAGCTCGTTGATGTCGTCCGAGCTCTCTTCGTACGTGATGGAGAGAGCGTCGTCGTCGTCGTCGTCGTCGACGTCGTCACGATCGTCGCTGTAGGTGTTGTCGCCGCAGAGGGTGGCGAGCTCGCTCTCGGTCGTCGTCGTCGTCATGGTCGTGTCCTCGAATGCCAGCAGCTCGTTGCGCGCCCTGGCGCTGCTCGGCAGCTCCAATTGGCTATTGAACGTGGTGTCGAGCAGGCTCAGCGCGTCCCGGCTCGTCTGTTGCAGCAGCAGCAGCGACGAGGCCGTCGACGACTCGACGAAGTTCAGCGAGTCGTTGACGAGGCTGCGGAAAAATTTCTCGCGCGCTAATTCGGTGTCGGCGTCCGTGGTCGACAGCGATTTGCTGTTGTTGCTTGGAAGATTCTTTTCCGTGCAATCTGTCGTCGCTGCTGTCGCTATCGCACGAGTGGAACTCGTTTGCTCCTGCATCGTCACGTCGCTCGGCGACGGCGTCGCGAGAAAGGCATTGTCGTCGTCGTCGTCGTCGTCGTCGATGTCGTCGTTGTGCTCGTACGTCGCGTCGTCAAGACAGTCAGTCGAGGAATAATTAGAAGATAATTCCAACTTACTTTGGTGTTGCGATGCGTGATGCGAGATGGAGATTGATGACGCACGCCATCGTCGTCGGTTGACGCACACGAGACGAGATTGCCGAGGGAGCAGCGTGAAAATGTGATTTTTTTGTTTTTTGTCAAAATTCAAAATTCAAAAAAGTGATGTAAACATTATAAATTTGACACTTTATTTCATTGTTTTGGCAACTAAATTATCTTATCTATTATTGCATTTCTATTAAGCTTAACAATTACATAAGAAAATAAAAATTTTTTTGTACAAACAAAATAGTCTGGAAGACTCGACTTGTGGAATCAAGAGAAGAAAAAAAATACATAAATCGATTTGATTTGGTCTTTTCTTTTTTTTTGTGCTTTATCGACTCACATGGTGGAGGGCTTGTGAGCGTCGTAAAGGCTCTCCCTATAGATGTAGTCGATCACCGGGTCTTGCAGCAGGTATTTGACGCTCTCGCCCCGCTTCAAGGCTCGCCTTATCCTCGTCGAACTTACCTCGTTGGGGATCCACTCGGTAACTATCTGTATGTTGTGCTGCGATGAAAGAGAGAAAGAAAGACGAAATATAAGCAAAGAAAAAAAAATGAAAAAACTTACAAACACACTACACACACAGAGAAAATCGTGCAAGATGTTTTTCTTCTATATTCGCGCGCTGGAAGAAAAAACTTTCGTTTTTCCGCGGCGAGATATGAAAGTTTTATGTACGAGACGTCGCGCAATACTAGTAGTAGTGGTAGTAGTTATAGCGTGTATAGTACGAGTAACTTACCAAATGCTTAGAAAGTACATCGGAATCGTAGATAAACTTGTAGGGGTTGGAGCCCTCCCTCGTGATGACGATAAGGCCGTAGCGTCCGACTATTTCTGCAATCTGTGCGAAGCGAGAAACATAAAGCAAAATAACAAGCGTTACGAGATTATATTTTATCGATCGATGCAGTCGCAGTTGCGGTCGCAGTTTCGTAAAACAGGGCGAAAACGTTTTTAATTCTAAATCGCTGTATATATACGAGGCAACGATTCGACGAAATAATTGTGTCGCGCGAGCCCGGAAGGCAGTAGCGAGCGATCGACGTGATATACATTTCTTCTCTCTCTCTCTCTCTCTCTCTCGCCCCTTTTTTTTCATTCACGGAAAAGTATTCGCGCTCACAAAAACCAGTGCATTAAATTTGGTGCGCATATAAACTCGCAAAAGAGTCGGCTCTCTCCGTTGGAATCATTTAAAAGGACAATAGGATTTAGCGGATGGCTTACATTCCCCGCGCGACAACACATAATTTCCTTTTCCTTGCGTCGTCCTCGACTCGACGTTGTCGTTGTCGTCGTCGTCGTGTCCCTGGTGCTTCAAGCTTGCAAAGGGACAAGTATGTGTACACACGGTGCGCATATATATACAGTAAAAACAAAGTCGAGGACACAGAGCAGCAGCAGCAGCAGCAGCATCAACAAGGAGTACATGTGACCGCGCGCGCTTACGTGCACGTGTGTGTGCTTTATACTTGCGACAAAGTAAACTTTCTGCGGCGTTATTTTTCAAAGCTTATAATATATGTGTGCGCGGGCGCGTGGCACTGCGAGAGCAGTAACAGCTGTCCGAGACTTTGTCTCAGAAGTGCACGGTAGAATTAAGAGGACGAAAAAAAAGAGTATATAAACAAACAAAAAATAACGCGTCAAAGGCTCTCGTCGAGCGCCCAGGCAAGTTTTGTGTATTATACAGAGTGAAAACTTACATCTGCTTCGTCCCAGAGACCCGGCTTGCTGAAGCTCTCGAGCAGATCGCCACCGCAGAGAAGCTTTATTTGCACCTCCTGCGTCTCGTCGGGCTCGTTGCTCCTCACCTTCTCGGGTATCCATTTGAGATCGTCGTCTTGTTCGCTCGTTTGATTGTTTTGGGCGGGTGAGTTGCTATTATTGGCGTCGTCCTGATTGATCCAGGAATCGATACAGCGCTGATGGTGCTCGAGGCTCGCCCGTGTCCTCGTCCAGCCCTTCTGCTGCGTCTCCCAAGTGCTCAGTCGGATCCAGTCGCTGTCGCCCAGGGCCAATCTCAGCATCTCGCATCTGTCCTTCGACTTGGCCAAGTCCTTTTTGCCGTAGTCGTCGTGCACGGGCGATATCACGCCGCCGACGACTACGTGCGTGCCGAGCTTGTGCAGATGGTCACGGGCTCGCTCTGCGCAAACACACAAAGAGAAAAAGAAGAAAATTAAATTCGTTAGAAAATAAAATTAATGTTCACTGCGGTCGAGGGATTTGAAAAAAAAAAGAAGTTCATAAAAGTGGGGAGAGGGTAGAGGTCGATGCAATATAAACAGTCGTCCGGGTGCGGCGAGCCGCTCTCGTAGGAATTTCATTCCAATTATATTCCAAAGCTCGGTGTGCAAAAGCGCGGCTACACTTCAAAATATCCGTACTCGAAACTTTTGAAAAAGGCAGATAAGTGCTTAATCTGGGACGTCAGAAGGGGGCAGTGGGTGAAAAAGGTGGAAAAGGAGAGAGAGCAAGAGTGGGAGACATTATGTACATTATATACATATAGCACAGCATGCAGCACGCGGAGAGAATAACTCTGGGGACAGAGCGCAGCGAGGCACTCTATTGTTTGGGCCACCAACAATAACGACACTCTTGGCACTTGTAAGGGTAAAAATACATTTTTCCTTTTTTTTTTTTATATTGTCAACTAGCACATACATACACGCATACACACACGTACGCACAATAAAACGTCATTGTTCTTCGGCTCACCCATCTCAAAATCATCTTCATCATTACGGTTGCGCGACATAAGCCGAGATTCTTATCTCACTCTCTGTTTCATCCCGAAAATGGTCGACGACGGTACATTATAAACCCATAATCCGTCGAGGAAACAAATTTTGAAATTCTCAAAGTTCTCTCGTGCTCATGAGCGAGCCATGTCTGGCGCACACAGCTGCGTTATCTATGGTTAATTTACGCGCGCGCGCCTGAGCATTCGTCGTTGCAGTTATCATTAGTTGGATGGAATGCGCGTATCCCCTCGTACATACGTATACGCAAGCTTCGAGGCGCGCTCCAGAGCGATCGTCGTGCATTATGTAAGCGAGAGCTGATTAACTCGGGGAGAGGCTAGATGTTTGTGTGTGTGTGTCTGTGTGTGTGTGTGTGTTACCGGCAGCTTCGCGCCGATGTTTAACTTCGAGAGCGGCGGCGGTGGCGCTTTCGGGTAGAGAGGAAATTATTATGCTACTGCCAGACGCAAGCACGCACACACACCCACATACGAAGTTTGTGGCACGGGGGCGCGAGCAAAGTGTAATTGCTTACTCTGTATTAATGACGCATAGTGTACGTCGTGGGCTCTTATACGTTATACGCTCTGGCACATACCTGACTATACGTAGGATGCAATATAGCTCGAGTGTGTTTATTATTTTTTAAATATACGCCGGGATAAAAATCACATACGGTAAAGGATTCATAAATGATGCGGCTAAACGCGCGTGTATACGCACGCGGCTTAACTTTCATCAATAATGTGCACAGTTGCGCGCCGAAAGCTCTATATGCATATATGACTCGAATTTTGCAAACACGCGCGCGTATGTGCGGATACCAATCCGATAAAACTTTCATTCGTTTTTCCGAGTGTCCGGTGCAGCGCAACGCAGCGCCCGAGTTTAATAATGAGCATTTGAAATTCATCACGGAGAGGATATTTGCGCTCCGGCCCGTTGATTTATCGATAAAAAAAAAACAACAACAAAATATAAAATGAAATGAAAATTTTCCCAGATTGCTCCATTTCATTACTCTTTCTCCGTTTCTCTTGAATTCATATATACGTACGTATGTATATGATATCTCGCTGAACAACCAGTCTCAACCTCTAACTCTTTTTGCTCTTTGCTTTCGGATGTCTCGGCCCCCGCACTGCGCGCCCGTTTTTGTGCACCAGGCGAGTGCGCGCCGCGCAACCGGCCCGAAAAGAAGAAAAATTTCTCACGTATAACAGCAGCAGCGGCGGCGGCGCACACTTGCAATAATGCATTATTCAGTTATACGTAAAACGACCCTGTGTAACATTGTTGTACGCCGCGCGCACCGAGTCTCGGTATATTTGTCTTGTGCGCCCTGCTATGTACGCCGTTACTTCTTTTCTTCTTCTCTTTTTTCTTTGCTTTTCAGCTCAAAGTTTCGCTGCATCCGCAAAAAGCTATATCGTGTCATTTGAATATTTCCGTCTTCTTATTTCGTCGTTTTTTTATTCTTCCTTATTTTTACTAGCGAAATGTTTTTCGGAACTGTATTTATGGATTGGCGTCTATGCGGGAATATGCTTTATTCGATTCAGCCATGCATTTGATTACCTCTCTGCCTTATATCAACTTTTTTCCATCAACTCGTGAGAGAGCAGCAGCAGCTCGCGCAAGGATGAGATACTCAAAAATGTTATTACGCTGCAACGTTTTTATCACACTTTGGGAAAAAAGATTCAATAAAAATGACTACTGTAATACAAAGCCATGGCCCAGCAAGCTCGCGCAATGTGCATGCAGTTGCCTCGTGCGTCTGTCGTTTATATAAAAGGCAAAAAATTTCAAAAGGAAAAAATCCATACCTGTGCCCGAGACGTGCGCGCTGCCCGCGCGTCGAGTCAAGTACATTTATAACAATATCAAAAGGGATGAAATCGCATTGAAATTTTATTGCGATGAAAAGATTGCAAGAGTTACTTTTTCTCTGCGCTCATGACGTCAAAAATCAATTACACCGATGCTGAAAAATGAACGACTTTTGCCAATAATAAATCAGCCTTATAATGTCGAAGGCGAGAAAAGTCCGTCGAGGTAATTTAAACGGGAAGCCAATTAACCAATGACGACCACTGTCGGTGCTCGCTTCCGAGATATAGTCAATCTCGAGCTCTCTTTCTTTTTCCTTTGCAAACTCCATTGAAGCTTATATGGAGCATACCACAGGCGTGTCTTTGAGGGGAGAGAAAAATGTAAAATACCGCACGTATAAGACAGTGGAAGCTTTGAAATTAGTTTTCCCCGGCAAAGGCTAAATTCCGAACTGGCCTAGAGCTTGATTCATCTTGTAAATGCACCACGGTCAGCTAATGATGTTTTAATCTTTCACCGTACTATGAATAAATAAAATCTGCGTAAAAACGAGAAAGGCGACCTTTTTTACGAACGTTCTTACTTTTTTTACGCTCGCGAACTTTGCAAATTATATTATGTTTTTACGGGTCACATTTCTCGTCACGGAAAATCTGCTCTTCGGCGGTTTCTCTCCGTTTTTTTTTTTTTTTTTTTTTTATACAAAGCCTCGCGAAGAAGATCATTTCTGCTTCAACTTTTGGTATGAATACCTCGGGATTTACAATAAAAAGTTACATTTTCGTTACAGAGGATAGTTGAAAAGAATTAAATTACAAACCGTCTTAACTGAAAGCCAAAGTCCATAATTCCGCAGGGAGACTCGCGATGTGCGAGGGTGGCTCAAACTAAAAATATCCGCGATACCATTAACTTGTATGAAGATGAACTGTGCTCACGCGCAGGCAATGAGAATCCTATTAGCAAAGTGCATGAATGAAAAAAAGGGTTGGGTTTCATCGCAATATACCGTAACACTCCTAGGCTTGGATAAACGCGCCCGCACATAGATACGTATATATAACTGCTGCATTTCCATTGAAAAGTCAAGAGCGAATGCAACCATCCATCTGCATACGTGTAATGTAATGTTAAAAAGAATCTCCCTTTATCTAGCTTTTTATTTTTTATGTAAAATTTAGCACGTCATCCTCTTTGAATTTCGAGCGAAAATTGGAATCGAAAATGAACGTATTCATACGCGCACTACGTATCGATACGGCTGTAACAATTTTAACGGCAATTTTCTGCAGAGGAAGACGATTTAGATAACGACTGCAGGGAGCTTCTATTATTATTTACTTTTTTTTGTGAGAAAAAAAATAAAATAAAAATCATCGTCCCTCTCGCAGCGCGCTACTTGCACAAATACACCGAGAGCACGAGAAAAGAGAGTAAGGCCGATATGAGATCAATTCGATCGTGTGTAAATAATACAAGATAAAGAAAAAAAAAAGAACTGCTTAAGCTGTTTTCTGACGCTGCTTCTTGCTGACGTCACGCTGCATTGCTACGGCAGATGAGAAACGTGACGTGTGTGTATGGCGCGTCTATGCAGGTGTGAATATTGGGGAATCGTGTTTACCGTACACATAGATACGTGTGCCCGAGTTCACGGGAAAATGGCGCGTAACTACTGAGAGAGAGAGAATCGGGAGAATTTCATACTTTTGGTATTTCTACCTATGTATGTGTAGCAAATATAATTCTGCAATAAATGTATACTATATACATCGAGCTTTCGTAACTGTGTGTTGTATGGGCGCTGCTAAAAGGGAGAGGCGCGAGCTCGAGCTGAATTAATAATCTAGATTATTTGGAACATTTCTAGCTGCTCCTGCGGTTAAATTGAGAGAGGAAGAGAGAGAGAGAGAGAGAGAGAGAGATGGGCTTATTTGCCTTTATGCTGTGAAACACATGAGCACATATACACAAGAGTATTTCAACAATTTTTAAAAGCTTAGAGCTTTGACTCTCGAGTAGACTTGCACACGTATGCGCATCTGAAGCTCGATTTTATACACGACACATATACTCGACGTAAGCTTATAAACCCATATTTACAGAACAGAGAGATACAGAGAGACAGAGGGCAAGAGCGGGAGAGAGAAAGAGAGAGAGAGAGAGAGAGTCAAATGACGTTTATTTTTCTTATTTTTCGGACGAAGAAATTCGCGTGCAAAAGGCGGATGATTAATGTGCATCGCGTTTCCGCATGTATGTATGCGAGAGCGCGCGCGAGCACGAGTCGTAGAGTGAAATATACGTATTTCGGCCCGCGAGCGCGGCTCGAAACAGCATAAAACAACACAGAGCAGTGGCGCACAGTGCACGAGAGATACATTATAACGAGTTAATTCCCGATGTTGGTTTTTCTTCGCACCGTTGCCTGCCTGGATCCTCGTTGATTAAAAAAAAAAATAAATGAAAATAACGGCGATGCGCGGCTTAATTTAGTTAACATAAAAAAAAAGAGAAGAAGGAGAAAGGGAAAATGTGGCACGAGGTGCTGCTGCCCGATATGCGGTAAGATAGAGAAAATAAAAATTTCAATTAAAGCTCGCGGCGTCTGCACGACGTTCTCGCGCTCGCGCCAAGGGGGGGGAGGAAGGAAGCGATTTGGAATAATCGCGTCGTACATGGGCGCTACTTGATTTACTTACTAGGCAGTCTCAGACACTACTATCGAATTATTCACGCCACTTTCACACTGTAGTGCTACTACTAGTGCTACTGCCACCGTCGCCGCCGCCGCTGCTGCGTTACATAAAGATGCAGTAGATGTACATATATATATATACGCTGCTGCAGGCGCATTCGGTATTAAGCCCATAAATTCGCTTTATATTTAAATATACCCTCGCGAGGCTAATCGAAGTAAACTACTTGCAACGAGAGCTAGATACAGGGAGAGTGACTTTGTATCCGACGCCTCGAGAAAAGAAAGAGAGGGAGAGCTAATTATAAATTTTATATACTTCGATAGCGTGTTAAAAAGCAAGCGCGTTATTCGAAAATATACACACTCGATAAATTGTTCGAGAGAGCTTGCAAGCTCGCAAACTCGTATACGCGGGCTAAGAAGTTTTTATTATGATTTTCCTTTTAACACGCGAGCCGCCAAAGCCTCTTACAGTAATGGGGAGAGAAAAGAGAGAGAGAGGGACGAGACGATGATAACGATAACGTGCATACTCTCGTAAATATAAGGTTAATAATAAGCCGAGGATGTTTTATTGCGATAATAATAGTTCTGGGATAAAAGCACATGTACCGTGGGAAAAGATAATCTCGGCTACAGCAGGGAGTTTTTCCGGGCTATTTTCTTTTTCCCCTCGTACAATCCCGCAAGCAAAAGATCGGAATGAAATAAATTTATTTCGGTGTTGCGCGACAGTGTCATTAATTATGTTATGTTATTTTTTGTTTTGATACGTATTCGACTTCACTATGCGATATCTCAAGAGCGTGGAATAAATCAAAAGTATCGCATATTTTCCGGGTCGGCGGTGATGAATCTTCAGTTCGTGAACGTGAACGGTACTAATTCGATGAGAGTTATTGGGGCACGAGATATCAAACATTGTCAGCTGCGACGAATGCGACGAATTTGTGCTTGTGACACATTGCGTCGTGGTGCTTTTTGTGCGCGAGAAAAAAAAACGAGACGCGTAACGATAATATTTATACGTACGCGTTATCAGCATTCGCAACAATATCTCGCGCGCGCGTTAAAAGGCGTGCGCTATCGATTAATATAACTCTTATATGCGCGCTCTCTCTCTCTCTCTTCTCTTTCTTCTATCCCTTTTCCCCCTCCGACGCGCGTCTCGTGTATACACACTTTCCCGGCTCTTACTAGTGCACTCTCTTTCTCGCACACACAGGCACACAGGCACCCGCAGACAGGCACACAGACTATACGTCTATAAAGCGGAGGAGCACACACGCACACGTTATCGCGAAGCTTTTTTGAAATTTCTATGCTCGTACGTGGATAGTTGGCGTTACTAAAACGTGTATAGCTATTAGATGTACGTGCGTGACTTACCGAACATTCTCAGGTGCATGTGAGTTGGTGGATTGTAACTTCCGCATGACATCAACAATACCCGGCCGACGAGTTTGTCCATTTTTGCTGATGGGTCCGCGATCGCTTTAGTCTTGCTGCATTGCCAATTGCGTGTGGTGACAAAAATAAAAACGACAGTAAGCGTGTGAAGCGTGAGAGAAAAACCAACACGTTTAAAAAAATACAACACACGCACTTTTATGCACAACTTACATGAAGATGTTGTTGGGGTAGGAGGGATGAAAAAATGCGCGTATCTTCTTGTTTACGTGTATTGGGTTGTGTATGTGTGTGAGCTTGTGATGTGGTTTTGTTCCCGAAACGAGACGGTGTGTTTTTTTGGCGTGATGTGAGGATGAGCGGCTAGAGCGCACTGAACGCTCCAGCCAGGGGGTTCGTTCGTACACTGATAGAGCCGAAGCGGAGGCTAAGCGTCGCCTGCGGTTGGGTTCATCGCGCATGCGGGAATCAGATGGAGCTTGCGGCGTAGCTTCCCGCTTGGTATTGTGCGCGCGCCAGACGAGATGAATTTCGAAGTTTTTGTTTCGTGGCGTGGAATTTTATGATAATCCAACGTACCTCGACCAGTTGTGGACTTGGAAAAATTGCAGTTCGTCTATCTTATTGACAACTGGTTGCGGCAAGAAATACTTGACGCTCTCTCCGCGTTGTAAAGCTCGCCTAACTCGGGCGCAGCTCCCTTCGTACGGTATCCATTCAGTGACCAAGTGAATTTTATGCTGAAAATACAATCGTCGTTCGTGAATACATAACTTTTTTCATTATATTCGATTATACTTCAAGCAATTACCATAAATTTGTAAAGAACATCGGACTCATAGACGATTTTACTGAGATCACAGCCAACGTTTTCAACGATTACTAATTCAAACTCTTCAAGTACTGAAAGGTGGTCAGAAACATATCTGATCATCTTTATCATCGCTTCCTTTTCTTCTGGCCAATCTGGCTCTGAAAAACTTTCTAATAGATCAGAATTACCAAGTAACTTTATTCTAACCGGCCTATTATCTGTTTTATTTTTTATACTCGGAGGTATCCAATCAGTGTCCTTATCATTTATATTATTGTCAATATCATTATTTATAAAAGAATCTAATATATTCTGATGATATAATACAGTGTCTTTCAAAGTTTTCCAATTACTTTGACTGATATGCCATTTGCTCAAACGCACCCAATCATGGGACTTGACGGCTAGTTCCATTAAATCACATCTTGTTTTATTATGTGCCAAGTCATTAATATTACTACTGGATAAATTATTAGTGGGTACAATTATTCCACCAACAACAGAATAAGTCTTCAATGAGTGCAAATGATCTCTTGCCCGTTCTGTAAAACGTAAACAATATAACTAACTAGGAAATTGCCGTATATTTAATTTGAAATAATAAATTAATCGTAAGTTAACAAATTAAAATCGAAAAAATTTTACATAAAAAAGTAACAAAATTGATCATTACCAAAGTCTTATATTTATCAATGAGAGCAATGAACATAACCAAACTTGACGTAATAACAATGTTTATTTGATGAGTAAAACGACACCCTCGCGAATGTTATTTCGAAAAATAGCCAAACATCGAACGATACACTTACCGAACATTCGCAAATGCATGTTCGTAGGTGGATTAAACTTGCCACAGCACAAAAGTATCACCCGATTTATTGTCATATTCTCCGTGTTTTCGTTATTTTGCTCCATTCTCGCAGCTTTTGACTTTTACTACACCTATATAAGTATAAACTTTTCTACGCAAAGTTGCGTAATGATTATCAATGATCACGTGTGAAACAAAAGCGACCTGTAATTTTCCTTCAGCCAGCGGTTTTTCAATAACAATGATTACAGGCGACACGTGTGCGAGCGATAAATTTCAAACTGATTTTTCCGACGTGCATTTGCTTGAACCATCGTCCTTCTGCGAAAATTTTGCAGGTTATATTCGCAGACACAGTGTTTGGATTGTGTCAGCTGCTTGCGCATTCGCAAATCGCGACTCGTCGCAAACAGCTGATGGCATTTAATATTTAAAGGTCTCCTGCGTCGGACAGGTAGATTCAGCTTTTATCATTTTAACTACTACTGAATCATTTTTAGTCGTTTTTAGTGTACCGTTCGTTTTTAGCTTACATAATTTTAATGTGTAAAAACGTTACACAATGAGCTTTTTTTAGTTGAATGTAAGATTATGCAGTAGTCCTCAGCAGGCTTATTGTATAAATAGTTCTTTGAAAAAAAATATCGAAGTCAAGCCAGAATGAAAATTTTTAAACCGTTTTTGAGATTTCTACTTGATACTTAACTAAAAATTAAAGAGGATGCCAAGAAAACAATAAAATGAATACATTTATGTAGATTTTTAGACAAATATATTGTGAAAATCTCACAAAATGTGTTCGAAAATAATTATTTTAGCTGGCTTCGTTATCTTCTAAAGAATAAAATTGTTCGACCATCGTCATTGCTGAATATTTCATGATAATAGAAAAATATTTACCAAAATTTTTTTCTTGAGTTTAAAGAAAATTGCAGAGTCCATTTGAATAACTTAAAATCAATTGCAAATAAAAATCAATACTTCTAGTTGTAACGTCTTTCTTCTAGATGGCGTCAACAGTACAAAAATCAAATGAAATTGTTTTGCGAAGGTGTATTAATGTATTTTGAAAATATTCCTGTGAAAATCTTGCCGTTGCTACGAAATATTTGCATCGCATATGAAGGTGCTCAAGTTCCGATGTCGAATGGGTAAAAATAAATAGTTTCACTACAGGGTCGTGACAAAAATTTTAAACAAAGCGATCCGCATTATTCAGCTAACGAAACATTCATCAACGACATTATGACCGATTTTATCGCGGCTCTATAACTCAGAAACAATAGGATAATCCATCACAATAGGTCGGATTTATTGTTATTCCGTCAAGTTCATTGATCAGCAATCGGACATGACACATTGTGCCCAGCAACTAATCATAGCTGCTAGGCTCCGAGCCCCCGTAACGTGCTGGCATAGCAAAACCGATACACATTTGGCCTCCTCATTCATCGAGGATTAATTAGCATGCATTATGTATATTGGACGCCCTACGAGGGACAGGAAAAGGTTTCGAGGTCGAGACAAATCACAAATACACACAGAGGAAATGACAACAACTTGTTTTTCATTTTTATCTTTGCTTAATAATACACAAATTTTATTTGAATCCGCAATAAGCAGAGAAAATTCATCGCCGTCGTCTGAATCATCGTCATATACTCCTCCCAACTCTCCTCGTCGTCACCATCGCAATCATCGTAATAATCGCAATTGTCATAAATTCATGCTCGGGTCTCTCGCATCGATCCCCGAATTATATATTCGTGACAGTCATACGGGTACACATTATATTTATATAACGTATGTACAATAATATAAGTTATTCTTTTTTCTTAACTTTCTCCATCTAAATATTAATCGCAGTTGTTTATTCTTACTCTCACTTCAATCATTTTCTCATGGCCTTTACGTGTACCACGGTGTTAGTATAATAATTATCATATATTACGCTTACTCTCTTTCATTTTTTTCTGTTCATTTTCGTCACATTCGCACGCACGAGTCCGTTTATATTTTTCATTGCAATGGCTATGCTCGTTGATATAATATTAATATATCTTGTTTTTATGGAAAATGCAGTATCATAGTCAATGTAGCTTTTCGTTTCTCTCGGATTGCATTTAACGACGCTCATTCGGGTCCTTAAAATGCGTTCTCAACTATTCGTCCGTTATCCTTTCGTCCAATTACACTCTCGCACTCATTCGCATATTCTTTCTTAATTATTTTTACTGCATACATTCGCTTTCTCGCATTTGCATCATGCAATAATAATAACAACATTAATAATAATAATCATAACTATAATAATAATGACAGTAATGAAATCATAATGATAATGATAGAGTAATATTATTGTAATAGTATTGATGATAAAGTCATAATATCTTAATAATTGTCATCATAATAACATCATTAATTTAATCTGTATTTTCTTACAATCAATAGTTACAATCTTATTTCATGCCTTCTCATGCCAATGAGATTTTTTTTAAAATGATTTTTTTTCTTAATTATCTGTTTTTTTGTTTTTTTTTTTTAATATTCCACTAAGCATTTTGTCTACTATTGATTAAATGCTCTTTTAGTGCCGAAGCCTTTTTTTGTTTGTTTTAAATTTTTAATTCGCATTCATTCAATTCATTCGCGAAGTTATTCACATCAGGCTTAAACAACTTATTTATGATTTTTAGACGAGATCTCTCAATTTATATCTTCGTCGTTCATTAGTTTCAGCAGATACATTATGCTTTTTTTTTAAATCGATGGACTTTTCGAGTATGTGTGTGCGTGCGTGTGTACGTGTGTTGATCGTTTTCTCTCTCACCGGCTTAAGGCAATATGCCGTTGCTGGGCGGAGCTTTTTGAGTGCGCCATGTATATGCTTTTTAAATCTTCATTACGCTCAACTACGCCTTCTACTTCTTTGCTTGCCTGCGCCTGTTTTTGCGCACTTATAAATCGTCTTAATTGATTTACAGCTGTCGTTTACCGTAAATCTCGCACTTTTTTATGTACTCACATACACACCCAAGCACATTCACTCGCACTTGTACTAGAGTCTCGTCTTTACTCGCTTCCAGCTACTAGAAAGCGAATATACTTTTTGTCTTAGCCGTTTTAAAGATTAGGATTCAGCACCTGGTACAAGGCTCTTGAGATAAGGTTTCTTTTATTCTTTTTTCTTTAAATATTATTTATAAAACTGTCATATGTACAGAGCCAATTATAATTACGACGACGCCCTTCGTTTATTATCAATAAGATTTTTTGTGAGTATATTCACATTCCTTTTGGATCAAAATTTATTTGAATAATCGGATAATAATATATATGATATATTTTTTTTTAAATTTTCATCTAATACTTTGGCGTTAGAGATGCATAATTGAATTTTTGTTTATAATTCAGCTAAAGCTTTATTTAAAAAAAACTTGAAACATACCGATTGCAAATTGCATACAAAATTGTTCTGTTACAAAAAAGGTACGAAGTATAATGTCAGCGTTACAATAACATACATAATATATGCAGGTAACAAAACAATTTTGAAACATCATCAACCTCATATCTTCTTTAGCTTTACAAACATCTTAAAAACTAGAATTATAACTAAGATAATTACAATATATGATAATTCGTATCAGTCAATTTCGAAAAGACGTCTGGAAGAGAATACATCCTCTTTTTCTTACAGATCACTCCAATGTTCGTTTCTCAAGAGACGCATATTTGTAATAACATTGAAAAATTATGAATGGAAAAATGATTCAAAAAGTATCGTCAAAAAATGTCCAGGCATTAATGATTCTACTCATTCCCTACTTTCTCGCTCACGGACACACGTTTCTTTTCACGCTCAATTTTTTTTGTCAATCCACATTGTCATTATTATTATAATTAGTATATTATTTTTTGCATATTTTTTTTCTTTGCGTTTTTAAATAGTACTCACCTAAACAATGAAAGCAGCAAAATGTCTTGGAAAAATGTTTCGTAGACGGCGGACAGGGGACGCACGCTTACGGACTTGTCGCCCAAATAACGGGTTGGTATTATTATGTTATTATTATTTTTTTTTTAATCATACACTTCTGTTATCGGTTTATTGTAATAATAATGAGCGCTAATCGCTTCATATACTCATTTTCAAAATTTTTTCTTTTCAACTCATTTTACCTACTTCCCTTCTTTTTTATACTTTTTTTGGTAATATTTTTTAATATAATATTTATATAATATATCTTCATGTATTTTAGTTACACACTTTTTTAAATCTTTTTTCAGTTCCTCTCTGTCATTTATATGCTTCACCATTTGAGGCTCGATTTTGTCTGTTTGACTCTTTGTATTATGAATGTTTTACATTTTTAAATATATTTTTAGTGCACCGAAAAATTTTGCTTGTATTATAATTAATGAGTGCTGATAAAAGCCCAGTAGAAAAAGACTATATACGAGCTTGCGATGTACAGATGTTTTAGAAAGTCTTCAGCTCCCTAAAAATTATTATTTAATTTTTTGCGTTGTGTGTGTCCATAAATTTTAGATAATTTGCTTCTCTTTACATTTAGACGATTTACGCGTTAATCACTCAGTTTATCAAAATGAAAGCAACATTCAGTATTCTGACAATTTTCAAGTTTATGAACGGCGAGTATTTAATTTGAAATTGAGAATCTTTTTTTGATTTTTCTTTTATCAATTCAAGATTCCATGATTCATTACGGTCACAACTAAATTTGAGAACTTGGACTGTTTGAACTAATCTTGTCATTCTATTAAAAAGTTTCTATTATAAAGTTGTCATTATTAAAAAGTTGATACATTTTCTACAGTATATTTTATTACTTACGTTTATTATTGGTTTTTGCCTCTTCGGGCCTTTAAAATTTAGGTCCCAAAAAGATATTAGAAAAATTAAAAAAAATTGGTATAAATGTATACAAGTCAGCTAAGTGATTGGTACGATTGGTTCTCACACTTTTTCCGCCTTTTCATTTAATAATTCTCAATGAAATATCGAACTTCGTTTTCGAGGAAGCGTATTTTTAGAGCCAAGTTCTCGCAATTTAGTGATAACCCTTTTCTCAACTAGTTTTATTAGGAAATTTTTTTTTTTAAGTTATCTATTGATGGCCGGCTGAGCTAACGCAATCTGCTTACGTCAATTTTTAAAAACTTTTTTCTACTTTACTATATCATAAGCAATCCTTACATATTTTCTATTACAATGAAGTATCGTATTTCTTGACTTCATGCAACTCTGTCAAAAAAGTTTTGATTAAAAACCTGAGATTTTATCTAGTTAGTAAAGATGATCTAGTCACTCGAGGATTTATTTATCTCAGTTGAATTTGATGCAAAAAATGTCATTATATGGCCTTTTATCCATCTGAAGAAGAATCGAGACAATTTTTAAAAAAACCTTCATGAGGAAGTTTGAAAATTGAGAATTTCACTTGTATGTAGTAAGAAAATTCATGAGACATGAATATTTTTCATCACTGTGCTATAAAACATTGCATTCAATTTGCATAGAATATGTATACTGTAGCAAGAAAAGTATGAGATGCATATAAAAATTAAGAGAACAATTAAGAAAGGGGACGTTCAAAGCACAGGGCTGCCTTTCAGCCGAAATAAGCCGAAAGTACAGGACGGGAAGAGATGCGTATGTATATGATATATTTGCTGCGTTAAAGAAGATATACTCATCATGACAATGAAATATAGTCAAAATGATTTGTGAGGCATTCTCGATTCTGTCATTCAAGAAGTTGTATGATTACTTGACTTACCACCACGTTACACAGCTCTTATTCACAGATGGAATGTTTTGTGCAAAAATTATTTCACTCAATTATACGCTCAAAGTCATTCAAATAATTTAAAAGATTAAGAAACATTTCAACACGTTAAAAAGCCTCTACACTAGAAAGTAGAAGTTTAGTTGATGCACAGGTGGTTATTCGTCAGGAGTATTTTTGATATAATAATAAAAAGTCAAGGTTTTAAAATAATCTCGATTTAATAGATTGCTATGATGAAATACCTTAACATATGTAAAAAGAAAGTTTCTTTTAAAAAGAAAAACGCAAAATATATATATTTAATAAAGACTAAAACTTAGATTAAAGTTCATTATAGGAGAGTTGACCCCAGACACAAAAAAGTAAAATAAGAATGAAAAAAAATTTTCTTTTAAAATATAATATCATAATGACTGTTAGCAGTACAATTACTACAAGGACTATAATCACTGAAATCTTGACAATTTATCATAATACAATTTACTCTTAGCGTATAGTCGAGGTTAAAAGCAAACATTTTTAGATATCTAGCATAAATTTTTCAGAATCGAAATCGCCTCGTCAAGTATATACGACCGAATTAAGGAAAAAATTTAAAAACTTTTATCGAAGCTTTTTCACTTATAATTAATATAACTACATTTTTTTCGTAAATCACGCATAGAATATTTAATTTTATAGATACATAAATATATACATACGCATACATATATATTTGTATAAATTTGATCGTCGTGACTTGAATTCTCAATAATAATAATAAATTCATATTTTATTTATTCTCGAAAATTTTTTTTTTCGTTCAACACCGTAACTTTTTACATAAATCAGTGTCAGAGATCACTCGTTACGTATTTTTTGTTTTATTTTTCATTATATATGTCAGTCTATCTAATCTTAAAAATCTACAAGACGCAAGCTTCGACTCCATGACCTGCTTAATAGTATATTATTTATTATTATTATTGTTATTATTATGTTATTATATTATTTTTTATGATTATTATTATTATTATTATTATTATGTTAAATTCTATTTATACTCCCAACCATGCTCGTATTTTCAAGAGAAGATAAAGTTCTCGCTTGTACCCTCCTACTTTTTCGCTCATGCATATGGTGTGCAATCTCAAGACCGAAGTTAAAAAAAGTTCTTAACCCTTAACAAAAAAAAACCAAAAAAATCTGCTCTAAACTAAAAATTTTTACATCTCACTTTAGTGTCCAATTCGAAATTCTTCATTAAATCACTGAAAAATAATACCATTAAATCACAAGCATATTTTTTTTAGTTACGTTCTAAAAATGTACAATTAAAAGATATATATAATTAGATTTTCATCTCAAAATATTATAAATGGTATTAAAAACGGAACTGTAAATCTTATCAGTCGGTCGATCGATGAATTTAACCGTCGCCAAGCACACGCGTCGTTCTAGCCAATCTCATGCCATCAACAACAAAAACAACAACTCATACGTACTTTCGAATGCTTCATTTTTGTTTAAAGCTATTATCATGTTCGATATCAACAGTCCTTTGAAGCATCTTATACATGCATTGGGACCTAAAGTCCTTCGCTAAACCAGGTGTGAGAGATGACGCAATTATTATGTTATTACACAAAGGGTCTTACAGAATTTGTACTTTTTTTTTTGTTTACATAGCATCGTTCAGACTACGTTCGTTGCAATTGCAATTGAATCCCATCGAACGATTGTCGCGAACGACACGTTTAATTAAACATAAGCGTTACTTGGATATTTTGTCTTTTATATCTTAATTAATTAGTTAATATTAATAATGCGCGACTTGGTGGTTTTACTGTGCCAAAAAATTGCACGTACAGTTAAAAAAAAAGCCATAGTATGACTTTGATTTTTCATTTCGAAAAGTACGAGTGATATCCATTTCTGGGTACTTTCGAAACTACTATATAACTACTAACTTATGTAAATTTAACAACTTATTGACGTGTGACGATGTACTAGCAGAAAATAACGCTGAAGAAAAAAGCTATTTCTCGTGTCGTTTCGTGCAACATGCTTATAACTTACAAACACATACCGTCTTATATAAACCGATTCACATTATAACCACATTTTTTTTATCGATACAAAATCTGATTACCCATTGCATTTCAGAAAAGTGTCAGAAAGACAAGATCCGATTCGTTGTTGCTTCTGCGCACTATCTCGTTACTTTAATATTAATTGATCGAGAACACCTTTCTCCGTTTCAACATCGAACACCTCAATTTAACAGTTTAATATTTACACATTATATCCAAAGAAAAAACATTACAACGTTTCTGTGAACACATCGTAAAATTGCTCCTCCTCCTCTTTCGCTTCCATGCTACAAACACGTGCGCCCTATTTTTTTATCGAAATTTACTATAAAATGACGACCATTACCATTACGTTACAGATGTTGATAACATATATATTTTCATGCGTTTCAGCTATTATTATAGTAGTATAAGAAGAAGAATAGCTGAGATCTTTCTTCTGTTTGTCTCTTTTTTTCCCCACTCTTGTTTAGTTATACAATTAAAAAAAAATTGAAGAAAAAAGAAAGAAAGCAAAAACGTACAAACAAACCACGCATGCGGCTTATAATATCCGGTGCATTATAACAATCTCCCAAGTCATCTTCGTCTTCGTCGTCGATAATAATAATAATAATCTAACAACAACAATAACAACAATTGTTGCCGGGGACGCTACTACTGATATCGAAGCGGCTTCATGATGACGCTCGCCGTAACTGGATGCCTCTTTCTTGGTCTTCCGCGTTTTCGAACCGTCGTTGTCGTCGTCGTCGCTGCCGTTAACGTCGTCGTTGTTGCTTCGATCTTGCTGCCACGACTGACAACAATGACACTTTTTCCTTCGCAAACGCTTGTATTGTTGTTGTTGCTGCTGCTGCTGATGCTGTTGTTGTTGTTGTTGTTGATGTTTTTGCTGCTGCTGATGTTTATGTTGTTGATGACGCCCTCGCGCCGTCCTCTGGTCTGCGAAACGAGTAAAAAAGCTCTAGTAATACTGTCAATTTCTCGAGTTACACGAAAAAATAGGTAACGTATGTTTATGCTAACTCTGTCGGTCGCGGGCTTATGCACCGGCAAAACCTTTCGCTCTCCGCCTCCGCGAATATCTATGTGCATATAATACGCGTGTGAACCGGTAGATCATTATTTATCGAGCAGCCAGACCGTTGGTATTTCCTGTGCAGGCAGTAACAGCCGTTTTTTATGCGCACAAGCATATAAGTCAAGTTGCATGTACATTTTCTCTTACTTTTATACCGTTTAAAGAAAGCGTATTGCTGCCGTCGAGTGTTTTTTGAATTATCGTAACAACGTCTCTCCCTCCCCTTTTGGTCTCGCGATACACTACTTTATCAAATTGATTTTTCATCACACTTTGTAATTCAAATTTTCGCGAAGAACAAGTCCAATAAATCAATTGCTAGTCCCTTTTAAAAATAGCCTTACAACTGGCGTTCGATGTGCTGCTGTACCCGATATCGTTGAATTTTCCCGAAAGTTTTCTTCTGCGCAGAGCTCTCGTGATCGAATGAAAAAAAAAAGGTTGTAAAAGAGGAAAAAACGTAACAACTCTCGCTCGGTTAAAGTCAAGTGCTGGAGAGCTTTCCAACCACCCCTTAGCCCTAAAAAGAAAGCGAATTAGGAAACGAAACAAAAAGTATCTATAGTGTAGTAACAGCAGCAGCAGCGGCGGCGGCGGCGGCAGCGTCGACGGCAAGTTGTGTGCAGCCCGAGAGACTAGAGAGAGAGAGAGAGAGAGCGAGCGATTTTCAATCAGCCGTCAGGGTGTGCAAAGGCAAATTTACGAGCGATTACGTTGCTACTGCCGTGTGCTGCTGCCTCGCGCGCGAGTTTCCTCCAACAGGCAGCAAGCCCCGACTCAGTGATGGATAGCTGTACGAAAGCTCCTCTCTCCGCCCGCTCGCCCGCTCGTGTGTGTACGCGTATAGCCAGAATTTTTTGCTGTTTTTTATATTTTTTTATTTTTATTTCGACAGAAAAGAGGTGTACTACTGGAGCGAGCGCGGGCGGTTGGAGGATTTAAACGATTTTCAGATTAGACGGATGTGCTGCGGCTGTTACTTTTTCTCTCTCCCCCCTCTTTTTTGATTATTATTTTCCGTTTACGTAGTATGAACTTTTACGAAAGCCTATATGCGCGCCTGCACTCAAAGTTCGAGAAATATATTCATGGTAAAAAAGCATTTTGTAAGTGAATTACACGTAAGCTTTCAACTCTACTTTGGTGCGCAGAGAGAGAGAATGTTGACCCACACTGGCAGTATTGGTAGTAGACGTCAAAAAAAAATATAACGCCGTCGTAAAAAAATGTTATTCATGATTCGAAAAACGTTTATCGCCATGAAAAAATTCGACAGAAGTCGTTGGTTTTGCCATTACATTGCAGGTTGCGATAGAAAAAGAAAAAATCCGTGGTGCGCTTTACCTAAAGATTGTCCATCATTTCAGATAAGGTCAGCCTGGAAGTGGACATTGCTACGCCACTGTCGCTGCTGCTCTGCACACTGCTATGGTCATCGGTATCCGACTGATTGCTCGTGTATCCAATCACGTCGACCTCATCTGCAAACAGAAACGTTGAAAATCAATCGTCGGAATTAAATATCGTCGTCTATATAGATACATGATTATATGAATTGCAACATCATACATGTGCGCCTGAACAATATTAAACGTTTATACAATGCAGAAATAGTGCATTCAGCAACCATCGAGCTCAAGAAGTTAAAATGAAATTTACAATTCGAATTTTCTAAATGGTCGACATTGTCGTGGTTGTTGCCGTCTTGGTCGTCGTCGCCGCCGCCACAGTCGTTGGTTAGATAAAACCCGTCAACTTTTATAGTTTGGTAAATAACATCGATGAAATTTTACAGTTTCGCCCCCCCAGCTTTTGTTTTTCTTTTCCCTCCTTTTTTTCGTTGCAAGCTCGGAATTATAGTACATTGGTTAGCGGCTATGTGTGCTACCCACCCGGCTAGAGACTAAGGGGAGGGTTTATGTACGTCAGGAAAAGATAATAAAAACTATTACCGAATGCGCGGCAGTTGGAAATAAACGCAAGATGACTGCTATTTTACGATGTCGACAAATTCAAGCGAGTCGTATATATAGAGTCAAGGATATATCGTTCAATGAAAAAACGAGAGCGAGACAGAGAAAAACAAGTGAGAGAAATTATTCGATTGTTAAAAAATGTACTATTTGCCGAGTGCGTATCGAGGCTCGGGCAGAATTCATTTACACCGCTGTTGTACAACGGTCACATGAAAATAATCCAGCTGCATCTAGGCTAGTGCTCTGTAGAGCAATTTCAGCTTCGAGTATAGAGGTGGCGTTCCACGAATTTTATGCGAAATCGATAGTCAGAATGAGAGAGTGAGAGAGGTGGTGTAGTATATCGAGCAGAGGAGAGAGAGAGAGAGAGAGGAAAGGGCCACTCCCCGAGGAGAGAGAGATTCGCCGTCATGCGCGCACGTGTATCTGCTGCTGCTGTTACTGCTTCTGTTGTGTATATATCGCGCGCGACGGCCATCCACGTGCGCTCTCGCACACCCACACTTGTACCGCACACAGAGCTCTATATTCCCTGCTGGGAAATAATGGCGTTTCGCCCATATACGTGTGTGTGTGCCTGAGTGTATAGGTACCAGCGGGTTTCGTTTCGTTTCGTTTCTTCTCTCTCTTATTTTTTAACCACTTTGTGTTGAAGCACTCCTGCGCCTGCCCGCCTGTATGTATATTAGCTTTTTGCAGGGCAAAAAATACCGTGTAGTGGGCGGCTTTTTTTCAGCACTCCGAAAAAGCGTACATACAAGTGCATTTTAGGTTTATTGTGGATTTTGTCTCGAGCTTTGAAGAGTTTTCTTTTTTTTCTCTCTTTTTTTTTATTGCTATTACGGGCTGAAAAGAGTAATTTATGCAAAGTTTGTTTACTGAATACTTTCGCTCGCACGGAAGCAACATAGTTAGCATTTTGAAAAGTCTAATTTGACTCCGTATCGAGGTTTGTTGTTTTTCGTTCCCATCTTGGCATAAGATTCCCGAAAAACACAGTAATAATACACGCATTTGTGAAAATGTTCGTAGAAAGAGGGTAGATATTCGACGCATCCAGAGCATCCTTGATGTCATAACTGCATTCTCTGAACGTCGTTCGTCGAATTGTACGCATACGTACAAATTACATTGTCAAAATTTTTTACCGTTACGGTTTTGCAGCCACGCGTATATACGGCAGAATTTCAAATTTACATGACGTCTCGGAAAATACCAGTCGATTCCCAGAACGCAAAACGAAAATGTGTGTGTGTATACGCTCGGCGATGCTTCTCTCTCTTTCTACCGCGTTTTTCGCTACCTCGGGGATATGCGTGCGCGCGCGCGCGATCAGGAGAGCTACGATTTGCCGTATACATGTATGCATGCAGGCGCTAAAAAATAAACACCTCGAAAATATCGGGGATATCGTCACGCGTGCAGGAGGGGGGAAAAACGATTTCTTTGCGCCCCGGTCCTCCTTCCCGATACGCGCGTGTGTGAGTGCGCCGCGGCGCGAGCATCGTCTGTAACGCAGATTTGACAATTTCTCCTGGTTCGACGAACCCTTTCGGCACAACGTATTTGTATACGTAGATAAAGGCGAAGCTTACCTCGCGCTTGCGTAAACTCCTCGATCTCTAGCCGTAAGCCACATTTTTTTCCATATATTACACTCTTATGCATTATTTTTAGCCCAAACGAATATACGCAAACTCGCTCTGTATATTCGACTCGGTGTATTGGTAGAGATCTTGAGCAAAAAATGAAAGCGTATTTTTATTGACGCGAAGAAAATGTATATTTATTTCAACTGATCCACCGTAACCGATAGTCGCTTATATTTACACATATACACATAAGCACGAAAGAGGGAGGATTATTTTTCGTCGATTTCAATCTATTGCTTAGAAGAGCAAAAATATACTTTGTACGAAGGAAACGACTCGGCTAAAAGCAGCAACAGTGAAGTAAAGAAAAAAAATTGTCAAACGTCAAATCTAACCGAAAGAAAGAGAGAGGGAGGGAGAGAAAGAGAAACCCTTGACTGTCTAGCTAGCTCGCCGCTAGCGCACCTGTTTTTTCTGCCTGAAAGCTTTGTTTTTCAAGCATCATTTACACAGCGAAATAAAACCGATACCTACTTTACAGAGAGCACAACATGTATACCATAAAGTTGGAAAATAAAAGCCCCGCTCTGAAATATTTTGTTCGGCACATATGCGGAATTTATACATGTGTGTGCACTGCGCTGCTGCGCACACACGTCTCATTATTTTTCGCCTAGCTTCCACCTCTCTTTCCTGCGCCACCCGCTTTTTCACCCAGGGCTCATTATTATTCTTCCCCCTACTTTTTTTTTATAGTTCACCGATCCTTTGAGCTCAAGTGTGCACTGTTCAGTTCACTTGTTTTTCCTCTTTTTTATTGGATGTTCCTATGGTGTACAGTAGACTCTTACCACAGCCCATGCATGTTTGGGAAATTTTTCTGCATCCTCTCGTGAAAGAGGAGTTTTGCCACGCGCGCGCGCACGCTGAATGTGCTTTAAAGTAAGCTGAAAAAAGCTCGAATTTTTATCCACACGCATACTCGATGCTCGAGTTCATGGATAGGAATTCATCTCAATGTATCCAATTACCCGTTGTCCATGCCCTTAATGAAAACAGAGAGTAGGCAATTCTTTTTCCGCACACGTAACACCTAATTTATATAACCTTAGTTAATCACAGCTTCACCACCGCTACTCTCATGAAGTGACACTATTATATTAGCGAGTAATAAATTATATCGCTATCGTGTACGAAAGAGAGAGAAGGAGAGAAAGAACTGAAAAAAGTGAAACGATTAGCTTACACCGAAAAGAGAGTGAGAGAGAGAGGAAGAGCGAGAGGAAGATAAGACTTGCGGAGCCATGGAGTGATCTTCGAGCAACGTTAATGACGTCGTTTGGTCTAAGTTTTGCATGCACGTCGTGCTGAGACAATAAACTGACGCGAAACTTTGACAGGGCATGATTGATTAGTCATTGTTTAGCGGATATAAAATAAAATCATTACCCGCGCGAATATTGCCAACGAAACGAGCGAAAGAAAAAAGGAAGTTTCAACGCAGCCGCAAACAAATAGCCTGCAGATCCATACCTGCACGAGCCTAGCCGAGCTTGGGTGCGTAGGCGCCCTATATGTATAAAGTAGGAGTCGCTTGCGGTTAAACGCAAAGCAGCATCATAAGTACGAGCAGCGAGAAGAAGCGAGGATATTAAAAGCAACTTGCGCTTGAAAGATAAATAAAAAAGTCGAGGGTAACAGCGACGGTTAATCGCGCATTATGCGACAAAGACATGACGATTAATTGAGCTGCTCGTTCCGTATCAATCCTATACGTATGCATCGGGAACGCAGCGTCCATAATCCGTCTTTGACAATCGTAGAGTTTTCCGAGCACGTTGAGCTAACAGCAACAACAACAACTACTACTACTGCTAGCAAGCTAGTGGCATAACCCCTTCGCGTCGCGTCGCGCGCGCGTGTTGATCCACGAGTTAGATTACCCCCCAGCAACTAAAACAGCAATTTATCGTCTATTTCATTTAGCTAAATGGATGCGCCCGTCGCTTGCTCGCGCGCGCGCACTTCGGGGCAAGGCGAGAGCGATCAAGCTGAAATTTCTCATATTATAATTATTCTCTATCAATCTGCGGTGTCAGGAGTTTGGGAACTCGCATGAATAAAAAGTTCAGACGAGCTATATACGTGCTTGCTATACAGCGAGCGAGCGCCCGCGCGCACGTGAGTGCATTATTCGAAATGACCGTCGATTTATAATACAAATGACGACAGCGAGTGCCTCGTTAATCATCGCCGCACGCAATGCTCGTTCGAATTCGATTACGATTCACAACTGCTGAGAGAGTGAGAGAGAGTCGCGTTAAATACCGATCGAAACTTTTTTTTTAATTTATAACAACAAATTATCAAAATCCAATAAGTAATCGCTTGCTCGTTCAATGCAATAAAACAGCAACCGCAGCAGCAGTTCCAGCGTGCATATAATTCAGAAAATTCGAAAGCTTTGAGTCTGCTGCACTTTTTTGGGCCACGCTCACGGAACGAATGAAAATGTAATGCTCTACAAAGGATTAGCACGAGGCTCGGTGGCTCAAATATTCATGCGCGCAAATGCAACGGGGATCGTAAACAGAGAAAAAAAAACAATTAACAAAGCGCATGAATAACTTTGATGTCAATATTATATACTAACGGTTCACTGTCAAAAATAGTTGCCGCTGAACATAGGGATTCTAAATATTTGTTATATATTCCTGCTGTAATTTTATCTCGCATATATGCTAACGAGAATGAATGCGATCAAACCGGAAACACCTAACTTTATTCTTTTTGGGGTATATATGTAATTCTCGTATTGACATAAAACCTGTCCAGTTTGAAATTTCCAGTACTTTTTAATTTTGTAAAAATAAAAGAGACAATTCAACATGAAAGGCGATCTCCATATTTCATCACAAAAAAAAATAATCGAAATGATTTTAAAATAAACCCGCATGAAGCTTTTTTTGACAAATAATTTTATTTTTTACAAAGAGAAAAAATTATTACTTTCTTTTAAGCGACCATTACTTGCATCATGACTTTATTACTTTGATAATATTTCAATATAAGCAGACGAATTATAAAATTTAATAAATAATTTTCACGCAAGCAAGCATTCATTACTTTTATTGCATAACGAAAAATGAAATAGCCAATTATTGAAGAATATTTCTATCGATGTGCGCCAATAAAGAGTAAAAATTAACAAGGAGGCAGGAAAACGTATTTCTTGCGAATCGCAATGATGGCAGAAAAAAATTAACGAGAAATATAAATTACATAAATATAGCTGGTATTCAGAAGATCGTCAACGAGTATAGAATCGCCCAAGATAAAAATGCAAGATCCAATTGAAGAGAAAAAAAAACATCTACCTCGTAGCCAAGGGGCGTTTTTAACTCTCGAGCTACTTTACATAACATTTGACATATATATTATGTTGCCGTATCAGCAGTACGAATAACTTGCTTATGACATTAAAAGTATAACGCATTGAATACGGCCGATGCATAATGCAGACAATCAATTTTTCGACAATTTAGAATGTTCGTCCGAGGAATCGCACCTCTGCCTATCTTTATCTCTCACTCTCGCGTAAGCTATTAGTTATGCGACGCAAAACAAATCAGATGCGGGCTCTCTCTCTTGAAGGCGCGAAGAACTTGGAGGCGCATCTGGCACGATGACAAAACGCGACCCGCGTGTGCTCAGAATTGTAACGTATCCGCACTCGGCTCGTGAGCTAGCCTAGACAGCGATAAGCGCTCAGCCGACGAATTACTCTCCTCGCGCGCGCCCTGCCACGTGACAAAAGATATATCCATCGTGTCGAGTTGTCGTGTCGCGGCAGTGGCGGCGGCGGCGGTGGTGGCCCAATGCTATACACAGACACACACACACGCATACACACGTATAAGCACGGGGTGGGTATAAGGAATCCAAGCTCGTGTATATCGCTGTCACACTGCCGTGCTAGATACTATACGTACAAGTACACTTGCAGGCGCAGGGTCATATATATATTACAGTTATATTTTCAAAATTTATAACGTTGAAACTTGTTGGCGTATAAATGCACTTAATCAGCGCGCCACCTCGCCGCTGTTTGAGAATATCATTAAGAATGCTTAATGCATACAGCATACACACAAACAGAGCGTAGTTTAGAGCTTATCGCTCGGGTATATATTGCGAGATAGGTCCAGGCCACGTACATATATTCCTACACACACGTAGAGGAGCTTGAACGAGAGATTGTTTTATCGGTGCATTGTCGAGTGCACCTCGCTTGGTACATTATATAAAGCTAACGTTATAACTAAACTACGCCTTTGATTTTATACACACACAAGCACACATGCAGTCATATATGTACACACGTGGATGTACGTGGCGTAAGCGCGCACGCGTGCTCGCGATAAAGCTCGAAGCGCTGAAAGCTCTCGTCGACGTATACCGACGAGCGGGGCTTTTCATCGCGTTTACGTATACGCCGCGCGGGTGTAATTTTCTTTGATTCGTGCACGACGCTGAAAAATGCATTTGTTTCTGACGTTATGCTTATAAATTTTTTATTTCCTCCATGTCTCTCGCCGCTCTCCCGTTCCAGCCCCTCTTCCCCAAAAGAAAAGCTCGCAGTCACTCTGAGATCGTTAAAACTTCAGTAGCGTATACTAGGTACCATCGTATAAATGTATCCAGGCCGCACAGCTACGCGCACTCGCTGCTTACGGCGAGTGTCCGTTCATTTTCACGCGTCATTGCTCACTTGCCTGCAAAATTCAACGCGCGCGAGGGACGAGTAGGAGCTCCGGTGGCAGTCCGGGTTTTGCCAGCAACAGCAGCAGCAGCATGGTAGTAGTAGTTATAGTAGTAGTAGTAGTAGTAGTTTTAGTAGTGGTAGTAGCAGTAGTACGAGCTGCTCGTCGACTTGTGTTGAGAGAGAGAGAGAGAGAGAGAGAAAGAGAAGCGGCATTTGCATAATCTATTTGCTTATTCATTCATTCCTCGGGCCGTCGTCGACGTCGTCCTTCTCGGTGTAAATACGAGCACAAAACGCTTCCTCACTCTCGACTTCTATCCTCCTTTCCCCGTCCCATGCCCCCGCTGCAGCCCCCGTTACCCTTTGCTGCACCCCTTGCGCCTTGAAACTCGCTTTCTTCTTCTATTCTCCTCCCACGTAAACACGCACACGATTTAACTTGGCATTCATAGAAGCGAGGAGCGCCGTGCCCCCCCGCGCGCAAGCCTAAACTCGAGACTTTGCTTACTCGCTCGCTACTGCTGAGACTGCACAAAAACAATACACCTCCGCGCACGTCGTAGTAGACGTAAACAAAGAGAAACCCCGTGGCCTCGGCGTTGGCTGCAGGGGCTCCGGGTGTACGAGGACGCGGCGCGCGAGCGGTGTCATTCTCAAGTGCGATTATTACTTTTTAGTCGATCGAGTTACTTTGCGATCGCGTTTACTCGATTATAATACATATATATAGCATCTCTTCGTCATTTTTCATACTCTAATCATCGTCGACGAATCTTACAGTAGTGCGGCGTGTTCGCTATTATATGTGCGAGGACACACGTCTCTCGAATTTTCGGACGCTGCAAACAAGCGCGCGTCCAACCAGCCAGCCAGCCAACAGCTCACACAGGATATTCACTTGACACACGCAGAGGGAGATCGATAATAACTCCGGGGGGGGGGGTCCTCTCCATGCCTGCGGCAGCTTTCCTCGCGCGCGACCGGAGATGGATGAGGACCTGCTGCGCACTATATATCTATACATACATACTGCATATACACAAACACACACGTGGTATGCATGTACACTCGCGTGTATGTACTATCGAGCAAGCATGCACACTCACATTCACACACTCACACACACGCATACTCTAGTGTGGCGGAGCACTGGCTAAGGGTCACGCGCGTACATAATGACGATGCCAACGCGAGATCTGCTCTCGCTCGCTCTCTGTGTACGCTGGGGCGCAAATTGACGCAGCTGCCATGACGTTTAACGAGTTGATCCCTCTCTCGTTGCTTGTATATTCGTCGTTATTTCAATGTTCACGCCCGAATCGATGCGCGCCCGACCAGCAAACTCTCGTGTAGCCCAAAAATGAAATTTCCATCGATCGGTTTTGGCCGCGCACCCAGGGATACGTATGTACATAGTATAAGAAAATAATTCAGTCAGGTATAGTGCATAGTGCGTACATTGGACCAAATCATCATTATGATTATTAATTTTACGCGCCCGCCTATAAGATAATCGTGTGGCATTTATATAAAATTGAATTAACTTTTACGATCGAGTTTCTCCAATCTCAAACAATTCTGCGGCAGTTCCGTGCGAATAGTACTACATATATACACATATAACGCTAACCCCAATCCCAGCTTATGATTATAATTTCGTCTTTCTCTCCGGGCGCGTGCTCGTCTATTTCTCTCGCGTCGTTTCTCCGCAATTTCGTCGCTTGCTTGCGTTGCCGCCGCCTCAGTTTGTCTCTTTAACTGCATGTCAGGGACATACGCATTAGTTAGCGCGGGCGGTGCGCGCACGGCACATAGCGCACACAGAGAGAGACACACACAAGCAGCGAGCGAGCGAGCGCGTTGAGAGAACTGAAATTTCCGCGTGTGTATATACTCCGGGGCGAAAGGAGAGAGAGAGAGAGAGAGAAAGAGGCCATTGTTGTTACCGTTCGCTGAACTAAACCGTCTATCTCTTTATATGCACATGTGTCAAGCCCCGAAGAAATTTCACATGCATAAAGTTTAATTGATTGCTTTAGAAATTAAATTAAAACGCTTCTGCGCGCGCATTAGTTGCCTCTATGACGTTTGCAATGTCTAGTTGGTTTTTTTTTTCGTTTTTTCCGTTTTTTAGCTTCAGGAAAATTATCGCATTCTACGTACCCGTGCACTGTTATATCACCGAGAAGAGGATTGGTACATTCAAAGAAACGCTGATTTTGTTGTCGATATTTTATTGCGTTCATAATTGTGAGATAAATGAATATCAATGAAAAGCGGGAATCCCTGTCTCCGTTTATCGGCTCGTCTCAAGCTATTATAAAACGCTCATGTGACTTTGATACTCGCACAGTTTGTATTTCAATCCGCAGAGTTACAGTGAATTTCGAGATGAAGTTTCCTCGATTGTTTTTCGTGCTTTTGATATTATTGTTGGCACTTTCAGTTTCTAATGGCGATATTGTAAGTTTTACATTTTAATTCATAATTACTGGCTAAAATAATAATTTTCATTGTTTTTTACTTTTATAGTGGAAGCGTTTGAAAAATAGATTCAAAAAATTGCTTCCGAAGAAACCTGTCTACATTCCAATTATCTCTCATAAGTTCTGACGGGTAATTTCTTACATCTTGTGTTATTTTACTTTGAATTTTTCAATTTCAAATACACAAGCAAAATTATCTACCTGTATTTTACAGTAAAAATTGCTTTTCACATAGCAAGAATCAATCCTGACATATTGTATACTTTAATCAACAGTTCAAAATAAAACATTTACAAAATGAATAAACTTTCACAATATTAAACAAAAAAATAGCCTTCCTCTTTTTTATTTATTAAAACTTTGTTACGATAAGTTTCTGCGTTGATTTAATCCTGTTTTTGCAAAGACTGCCCCAAAAACTTGAAAATTAACTCGTCAAAGATTGGTCAAGTAATTTTGTATCCAAATAGCGATTCCGGCCAAGAGTATTACATTAACTTCAGCCTGGGTCCGGAATAGAATATTACAGGCAGAACACGCCTATACGAAGTAACAAATTCTGCTATCATGACCAAACCCAACCCCTCGACCTTAACGTACACGAGCTCACGTAGATATATATACACAAACACGAGGGAGGGAGAGAGAGAGAGAGTCACACCTCGACTAGCGGAAATGGCAGTCGCGTGTTTATACGTGCAAGTGTGTGTGTGTCTGTGTGAGGGCATGAACACGTATATGTGAGTGCAGTGTTCATACGAGATGGAATGGCCAAGGGTCAGACAAGTCGTATATGCAAAATGGCTTCCCTAATGACCTTCCTCCGGCCACTATCCAAGCTCTCCATCTCTTTAGGCGACTTCGAAAGAGAGAAAAAGACGCCTGACAGACTCACACATGCACACCAAGGCGCGCACACGTGAGACTCAGATTTTCCTGTAATTGAACTCCATTAGGCTGGAACATTTTATAGGCGGTCGATCTACGTTTTGGATCGAAAATGCAGATATATGTTTGTACTCGAAGGCGAGATAGCAGACGAAACTCTCGCCGCTTCTAGATTAACTTGCATTAGAAACTATAAATACAGAGAATATGCGGTTCCTTTGTTGTGTATGAGCGCAAGCCTCGCGATATACGTCTGTGCGCACATGCTGAGATCCAAGAAGGGCTACGACTAGCGAGAGAGAGAGAGAGAAGCAGAGCAGAGAGGAGGATCGAGCTCAGTGCGGAGAGCGTGGCGGAAACTTGAGTAAACGTTGTCCGAGGAGAGAGAGCAAAAGAGCTGGGGGTTAAAGAGCCTCTCGCGTGCGACGGAGAGAGAGAGAGAGAGAGAGAGCGACGGAGCTAGAGAGGATCTGCATGCATTCGCTTGGCCTCTGTGCGCTACGTGTACTCTTGATAGCTACGGCTGAGTAAATAGACTATGGCGCGCAGTACACAGACACAGAGGCTATAGAGAGAGTCAGGTGCACGCAGCGAAGCACAATTGCTGAATACACACAAAGTACAGAGGATCGTATGCAGACGGGCGCGCGCACAAGAGGCAAGATGTTTTCGTCCGTAAGATTGGCCTCTTGCATACGTATATACCTCGTACGTAGCAGCTAATACCACGGATAAATTCCTCAACATCGCGCGGATATCGGGGCTAGTGTGCGTAGCTACGTAAAAGGTCAATTTTTCCTAGCTGTTGCGAAAACAATTTTTGTTATTACTACCACCCTCGCGTAAAAAAGCTTCCCGCGCCAGAGTTAATGATGTTATTTTTGATGAGCCGGCAATATGAAGCGCGTGAGGTAATACGCCGAAGAGAGACGCACATACACCTCGAGACTGATCGTTTAATATTGACTCACGCGCACAGAGTATGATTATTGCAAAATGGTTATGAAATGATTATGATGTTGAACTTACGTAAACTCGGTGCAGTGTCAAGTGGATCGTCGATGCTGTACTCACCTGTGGAAGCAGAAAAAAGAGATGATAAACATTGACATTAATTAATTGACGTTTATATAAAATTTATCATCATATAGAGATTATATATATGACTACGACTGCGACGGAAGTAACGCAGGGTAAAGGAGGGAAAAAAACAGGATAGCTCACGCGCGATGATGGCTCTCGACGCTCGTGTACGGTATACATACGCGCGCGGGGCTGATTTACGACCGAAGCGAAGAGATCGGCAACGATAATAAGAGGGAAACGGACGCGCGCAAATATTGCGCGTCGAACAAAACGAGCCTCTCTTTCTCTCTCTCTCTATGCCGTGCGTTGTTATGTGTAGTTTGCATTGCATGTAACACACACACACACACATACACAGAGAACGGAACCGAGAGCTTCTTTTGTCCGTACGCGCGAGTATCGCATGTTACTTTATTTAAATCCGATTCGGCGGTGGCGGCTCTCGCGCCTGGTACTTTGGGAATTTATGATATTAAACGAGTGAGTAAACCATATAGGCCCGCGATGATTTCTGCCTCTTTTTTTTGTCACAGAGCTTGATGGATCGGCTGTTACAATATATATGCACGATATTTGCTTCACTAATTTTTTTTTCTACGACGAGAGAAACAATTCGTTTCTCATGATTTATGCGTAAACGCCTGGTTTTTCTCTCTCTTTCTCTCTCGTGGACGATTTTACACGGACACGTAGCACATATACACACACGCACGCGCGTGCATATACAGGTGACGATGATTTATTACACCTGCTCGACTTTTATATCTGATGTATATTTAAATTTTATTATTCACTTATGTGCGCCAAGCGAGCTGTGCAACACAGCATATTCTTCGAGTAGCTATGTACAACGGCACACGTATAATAGGCATCTGCGAGACACAAGCTTTTGACCGGTACTAATCACCATTACGATTCCGATGAATGTTTTTCCTTTTTTTTCATTCTAGTCCTCGCGTTGTCGCGCAACTGAAATTCAAACGTAGCAAAAAACAAGAAAAAATAGCGAAGTAAATAAAAGCAACTGCAAACAGCCCCCTAATAAAGTCGTATAACACATTTTTCTGCGACAGACTTGTCAGACCGCGAGGCTATATTTCAATGTCAAACGCAGCGCGTCTCGTCTTTTTTTGTTGTTGCTGCTGCTGCTGCCGATGCCGCTGCTACTGCCCCGTTGTTGTTGTTGTTTTCATCCGCATTGCCATGCAACATTTATCTCTATCTCTCTTTTAGCCGCAGTCCTGCCCGCCCTCGCGCGCGTGAGAGAGAAAGAGAGAGCTTATAACACCAACCTAAAATTCAAGGGAGAAAGAGAGCGGGGTAAAGAACGTAGAAACCTCCGTGTGCGCATGTAGCACACACACACATACACACACGAATGAAATTCCAATCTCGTTTGTATGCTAATGCCGCGACACGCGCGTATATATATATACGATATATACATGTATACATCACAACTGGCGTGGCCCGACGTTTGGGTAATTTTATTTTGTTCACCTCGCGTGTGCACGAGATCTAGCTCGTACGAGCGGAGCAGGTATATAACAGTCGGTCACATCTTTGTTTGATTTCAACTTTATTTCTTCATGTGAATTTATACATAAGCATTTTATGTGACGTCACTTGAATTCTGCATCTTCGAATTCCCGCGCGCGATGAAAAAAATTCGCCGCAAGCATGAGCAAACTTGAGGGAGGTGGGGGAGTGTCGGTATTTCGGCAATATTATAAAATACCATGCACGGGATTCAAATATTCAATATTTTATATATAAGTCAATGCATTCCTGATCGCTTTTCAGCAGATCGCAGCATTGCAGTTAAGCACCCAAACAAATAATATTAATAAGGCAAAAGAGCTTTTCCACATAGACATTTCAATCGTTAAAACAACTTATCGACATTTTGAGGGCGAAATATTTAATATCACCCTGTGCGTCGTATATAGGTTTGCAGGATATACGCACCGCGCGCACAGTACACACCCCCGCGCGTTGCTCATCCTGCATCTTTCTCATTTTCCGTCTAGCTCGCAGCAGCAGCCGAGCTCCTCTCTGCTCGCGTAAAACCAATTAAATCGATTTTCTATCACACGCACGTATAAACCGCCTGGAGAATTTCCGAATTATGAATGGACCAGTAGAGATTCGAGCCTCCCCGCCAGCAGCGCTACACCGCCGCAGCCACGCGTGACTATACAAAATATTCGATAATAATATACGAGAGAGCTTGCTGCAGCGGAGGCGCGTCTTGTTGTTACCTCTATCACTAGCTATACATAGTCGAATGAATAAAGTGCGCGCGCGTGCACCGCTGCAGCTTATAGACCTCGCATGGTTTAATGACTCTTAATCTGATTAAAATCTATCAATTTCGATATAATGCTATTATAATATAACATTCGCGAGTTTCGATGCAGCTCTCGATCTATGGCAGCTTTATTTTTTTGTTCGCACTTTATTAGTCATTCGTCGATCCTATGGTAATCGAAGCCACTATTTTGAAAAGCGAGAGCCAGAAATCTCGCAGCGTTTCGGTTATAATTCGTACGTAGCGCAGAGAGCAAAAGATTTCGGTCGTCTGGCGTATCTCCTGTGCGTTTTCCACACGTTTTCTGTTCTTCCGGCTTTAATTGTTGTTTATCGAGCCCTCGCTCGCGTACGCGCGCGCGCGCATGTGTGTAAAGCGCCCTCGGGCGACAACATTCAACTCCTTCTCTCTCCGGGCGCGGTTGTATCCCGGAAATTCGCATGCAGGAACTTCCGTGGCAAGCGCCACCGGATGTTTCGTCGTATACCCACACACACATACACATTGAGACGCACCGAGCTCGCATACTTACGTGCGCGCACACGTATTATATGGTATGGTAGCATACTTATATACACAGGCGCATGCATTCTATCTAAGCCGGTATAATCTTCTTATACGAGCTCGCGTGCATATATACATGTAGCCAAAGGTAATTTTCCGAAGGGGTGTGATTTTTCGCAAGAGCACTAGAAAGTGAGAGGGAGGGAGGGAGGTGTTCGATATAAGCTATTTATGGAAATTGTATTACGAGCAGCCCCCCTATAGATATCGAAGCTTAAATTATAATGCGTATACACGCACACGCATACGTACACAACCAAAATTGGGTAATTAGAGGCTTTGTGGGTAGCTGTACGTGCTATACACGCGCCCTCGTAACAGCACAGGAGCAGTAGCGGCAGCAGCGCAATGAACTCGTTGATTTTTAATTGCGCCCGAAAGTTCGGGTTAATAATATCTCATCCGTATCAATTTCCCAATTCGACGGATTATTATACACTCGCGCGCGTTTGAACGTACATACACACGCCCTCGGTCGTGAAATGTACCGAGGATCTAGGGCTTTTATTCATTTAATCATTATATAGCCCGGGCGTAACTTTGTTGCTCGCGCGCGTGCGCACGCACTTTTTAACGCAATAACTTTCAACATCAAAAACAGCCTCGCGAAGTCTGGGCGCAGCGCTCTCTGCCTCTCTCTCTCTCTCTCTCTCTCTCTCTCTAAGCTCGCTGGCATATAATAATAAGCCCGCCACTATGTACACATCATTGAAAATCACCTCTGGCAACAATATATTATAATGCTATACGAATTCGGAGGTAAAGAGAGAGAGCGAGAGCACGAGAATTTTGGCTCTGGCGCTGCTGCTGCTGTTGCTGCTGTTGCCGCTGTGCTGTGTAGGAAAAGCGTAGTATTTATATATAACATAAGACGAGCGCGCATCATGCGAGTTGCACAAAAGGAAAACTCCAATATATACGCGCTCTGGCCCTCGCTCGGTACAGGAGAGGTTGCTGCTGCTGTTGCTAGTTGCTCCTTCATCGAGATTGAAATCTTCTTTTCTCCTTTTTCAGCTGTCATGCGCCTTATCATCCGCTTTTCCCTTCTTCTCTCTTTCTGTACGCGCGCGGGCGGGCGCTCGCATGTCTAAGAGTATGTGTGTGTGTGTGTGTGTGTTATTGGCTCGTTTCATATGCGCGTGCTGCTGCTGCCAGTCTCGAAGCAAAACAGAGAGAGAGAGAGAGCGAGAGAAAGAGAAAAAGGCATTTTTTCCGCGCGCAAGCCTCGGCATTATGAGAGACAGATTTTTTTTCTCTCGCGCGCGCATTGTTTAATATCAGCCCTCATCCTTTCGCACGCATCTTTCTTTCTCTTTCACTTTTAATGCCTATTTACGACTAAGTAACTCGTTTCTAAAGCCCTACTTATATTTGTTCTTATCTCGGTGTTTTCCGCTGGCGCCGCCGTGTGTTTTCTTATCCCTTGTTTACCTTGTTTAAATACGATTTTGCAGCCCAATGTTGTGTCCTCTCTTGTAAAAACATATATACATCGAAAAAGCCGATTACACCGAGATTTCTCTCTCGCTTTCTGTCTCTATCTCTTTCCTTTTTTTCATTAAACAACGCCTTAGTTTAAATGGGATTTTGGTTACAGTGACTTTTTTCCTCTATCTCTTTCTCTCGACAACGGTAATATAATAGGTTACCTTCGCGTATCTTTTGTTTAATCTCGAGCGCACGGGCTTTGCTTACGTCGGTAGTAAAATGTCGATGCTCCTCTTAATCTGTTCAACTTTACTTTTTGCTTTTTACCATAGTACTATTAGAATGTCACCGAGTTTTCATCGAATATTATATTTAGTTTTACATCAACAAAGAAAAATCACGGAAATGAAATATCCCTCGTCGAATTAAATTAGCTCTCTTTCTCCTCCCTCCCATGCATATACAATAAGAAAGAAAAGAGCAAAAGCGACGTCGGGGGTGTGCTTTCGAGGTCAGGCAAAGTAGCTGCAGTAGTAGCATAGTAAAGCCCGGCTAGCCTCTCCTGCGATTTTCGCGAAAATGAACATTCCAAGCCCCCGACGCAAAAGCCGAACATTCTTTGACGATGCAATATATAAAGAGGACGAGGAGGGAAGGAGAGGAGCAAGCAAGAAGGAGGACGAAGAAA